GGCGCGCACCCGGGCGGGCTGCGTCGTGCGTTGGGCTCTGCGGCTGCGGCGCGGCGGTCCTCGGCCCCACACCCACCCGGGACGCCGCCCGCGCTCACCGCGTCTCGCTGTGGAGTGGGAAACGGGGACGTAACAGCGGGACCCGGGAAGTAGCTGTGAGATCCGGCGGCCGGGTACCCGGGAAGTGTGTGCAGTCGGAGCGCGATACCCAGCGCAACCGTGTCGAGCCTGGTTGCCTGTGAAGATCGAATCCCTGTCCTGTGCCGCTCACCCTGGAAAGTAGTAGCGCAGGAGCGGGAGGAAGATATTTTTTGGGTTTTCATTTGTATAGTCTGGTTTTTTTTTTTTGTATAGTCTGTTTAAATACAAACCTTTCAAGCAAGTTATTTGTCCATCCTAATATAGGAGGGGAAAACAAGCTGTTAGGTGCTAATGATTGAAAACTGTAGTTTTATGTATGGAAAACTGCTAGGAAAATCGCCAGAACATAAATATTTGTGCTGAAAAGAGTTAACAAAGCAGGCCTGAGACTGCCACCCCACTTTGAAAGGTCTGCCTCCAAGGCTGGCCTTCGCTAGGCATCTGGGAACTTGGACTTGGGGAGTGTTCTGACCTGAAGACTATTAGTTTATGCCGAATATTATGTTTCGTGCTGAAATTACCAGTTCGGTAAAAATCCCGGGCTCCAGGTTTCTCATAGGCTTCCCTGGGCAGAAGCGGTGGCTGCATGCTGCTGCATATTCCTTGCGGGCGGGAAAGTGCGCTGTTTAACACCTCTTGCGAAGGAGGGAGCCTGAGCAACCCTGTGAAGCACAAAACCCTCCACACTCCTCCTGTTTTTGCACTGTAATGGATTGTATACGCATACAGCATTGCTGTAATAAATGTCAGCGATGAGTATAATGTACCGAGTCCTGTGAATCCTTCTGTCCAGTCTCCACATATATGTATTTGTATGTGGGGGCGTGTCTTGAAGATTCCCAGACACAATTTTGGTGAAAAAAAGTATGTGAAGCTCTAATAATTGGAATTTGTCCTTTTTTTTTTTTTTGTCAGAAATGGAAATTGGAAAAGAGACTGTACAGAATTGGTATACTGTGGTTTACTGGACGAAATTGTTTGTTTAGACATAATGTAAGAAAAATGATCAGAAGTTGGACCCTCCAGGGGTCCAGGGATACAGCTCAGTGGTACAGCGCTTGCCTGACAAACACAGGGTCCTGAGTTTGATTGCTGGCACACACACACACACAAAGAAATGAATTGGACCCTCCAGAGCGAGGCAAGATGGCACATGCCAGTAATCCCAGCACTCTGGGAGGCTGAGGCAGGAGGATCATAAATACAAGTCCAGTCTGGGCAATTTAGTAACTTAGAGAGCCCCTTTCTCAAAGTAAAAAATAAATGTAGCTCAGTGCAAAAGTCCTGGGTTTAATCTCAATACAGGGCAGGGAGTGGAGGATTTGCCCCTCCATTGCCAAGTTAAGTTTGAGTCAGTGTTTTTATGAAAAGGCACATGTTGTTCTATGTGAAATCCCTGGTTCTGTGTATTTTGCCAGCATCTGGATGTTAATGGTCATCTTTATCAAAGGTTTTTCCAAAACAAAAGGGAAAAGTACTACCATTTCTCATGTAGTATTTTAACTACATTCTGTTAGCAATGCCTATGTCTTTCCAGGATATGAAATTCAAACTAATGGAGGTAGGTTTGTAAATCTTCTGTAAAGTAGAAGACTAGCTCATCTTCTGTAAGTGAGTGGGAGATGGAGGACTTGGAGGTTTAACTGGAAAAAGGTTTGAAAGGTTTGTGTGAAGGTAATGATAGACCCACCCTACTTTCTGGTAAGACTTTTCTCCAAACATGGAAAAAAATAATTAATTTGGTTCATCTAGGATTGGGTTCTACAGAGGGCTGCTGTAGTGATTGAGGTTGTGCACAGCTGAGGTGGTGAGGTGGTCCAGGAGCTCAAGAGACTTTCTGTACTTCTGTAACCCCGAATGAACCCTCAATTTGTTGTAGTTCAACTCAGCAGTAATAGTTTGGGACTTAAGGAAATGGCCGTGAGCTGGGGTGTAGCTCAGAGGTGCAGCATGCACTCAGTATGCGTGATGTTCTCCATTATATCTCCAAAACAACAAAACCAAACCAGAAAACCCACCACCTTAACATGGCCTGAAAGCTCCCTTATTTGACACATGGAGTGACTAAATAAGGATTCTGGATTTAGCATTGAATTGGAGGATCCATTACTGTGATCATTAAAAAGTAAATTACCATGAAAATTGCAATATAGCTTTGACATCAAGCAGGAGAGTGTTATTTAGTTAAGATTTAGTAATTGTAACAGACTCCAAAGTACAGGTCCGGCATGGTGACACACACCTGTAATCCCAGCACTGGGGAGGCAGAGGCAGGAGGACTGCTGCAGTTCGAGGTCAGTCTGGGCCAGAAAGTAAGTTCAGGCCAGCCTGAATTGCATAGCGAAATCCTGTCTCAAAAAGACCCCCCCCCGCAAAAAAAGGTACATACCTTATGTCAAAAATCTTTAGAACTAACCGAATTTTTAAGAAATACAAGATAGAAGAAGCATGAAGAAAAATAAATTCAGTATGAAACATTATATAGGTCTAAGATCAAGGTGTTGGCAGACTAGTGTCTGTGGAGGGCAACTAAACCCTGTAAACAGAACTAGTTGTCTTGGCTGTTTTCTGCTTGTATCTGCACATAGACACAAACTAGTTCTTGGCCTCTTCTTAAAAGGGCACTAATCATTTGTGAAGCCTGTCCTCCATGACCAAATGTCTTCCTAAAGTTTTTGTCTCTAAGTACTATCTCATGAGGGATTAGATTTCAATGTATGAATTTGGAGTACAAGGACACAAACGTTTAGGCCATGACAGGGTAGAGTCAAATGGACTTATATATGTGCGTGTGTGTGTATATATATATATATATATTCAATATATATATTCATATACAATATAATATATAATATAATATATTCAATATAAAATATTCAATATAATATATATTATATAGCATGATATATAATATACATGTAAAATTTATTTTTGGTGTTGCATTTAATATGTACTAGGCAAATGCTGTATCACTGAGCTATACTCTAGCCTTGTGTGTTGATTTTAATGAAGATTTCTGTTTTTTCAGGTAGTAATTCCTTCCTCTTTTGATTTACTAGACCAATTAAAATTGATATGCCTTAAATTAGTATATATGTTTTATCTATGGAGATTAAACTCTATTCACTTTTTTCCCTTCAACTCTTTTAGTAAATAACAGATGAGGGTAAAAGATCCATCCAAAGCTCTACCTGAGAAAGAAAAAAGGAATAGAAAGCCTTCAATACCTCATGATGAAGATTCTTCAGATGACATTGCTGGTAAGTTGTGATATCTGACATTACAAATGGGATTGGAGAAAAATAATAGTAAAGTATATGTTTTAAATTAATAAATCCATTTCTCTTTATTTTCACTATTTCCTTTTGCATAAACTAGAACTTATTAAGAATTTTAATTTTAAAAGTTGAATAGTAGGGGCCAGGGATATAGCTCATTGGGATAAGTGCCTGCCCGTCAAGCGCAAGGTCCTGAGTTTGATTGCCAGTACCAAAAAAAAAAAAAAAGTTGAATAGTGGAATTTTCTTCGTTGGTACCAGGGATCTTCACACTGACCTACATCTTCAGCATGATTTAAAATTTTTTAAAATTTTGAAACAGGGTCTCCTTAAGTCACGCTAAATTGCCCAGGTAGGCTTCAACTATTGTTCTTACTGTCTCAGCCTTTGGGAGTGCTGGGGATTATAGACCCACCACACAATTTAGGAAATGTTTGAGTTGTACCTTGGCCAGATCCCATTCCAGAGATTATATAGATATAGCCTGGTGTGGTGGCAGATACCTGTAATCCCAGCACCCAGGAAATTGAGGCAGGAGGATTGCTGCAAGTTTGAGGCCAGCCTGAATTGCATAGTGAGACCTTATCTCAAAAAACAAAAAACCCCAGAGATTATATAGATAGTATATAGAATGATTTTCCCTTTAGAATTTTAAAATACGAAATTTTAACACAGCAATGACTTTTGGTAAACCATTTCTAGTACTTACACTAGTGATCATTTATCAGTCCTCTCTTGAACAGTCTTGTCTTTAGTATGAATCCTTGCTTTTCAAACATACAACTTCAGAATTACTCATTTTTTGTGTCTTTATAGCTTGCTCTTTTGTTACATTAGAAGCTTAAATGATTTATTGCTATTTACGTGTTGTTTTTGTTCGATTGTATTTTGTTATAAATTACTTGTGAGGAATCATATTTTTACTTTTTAGGTTGAAATAGACTTACTGCATAGTTCTATTGCCTAACTGCTTTCTAGCTAATTAGTAGACAGGAATGCTTTGAGCTGAGCAGAATGGTGCATGCCTGTAATCCCAGCTACTCAGGAGGCTGAGAGAGGAGGATTGCAAATTTGAGGCCAGGCTGGGCAGTGTAGGCAATTTCGGTAGATGCTGCTTCAAAAGAAGTAGAAAGGGCTAGGGTGTAGCTCACAATTCTCCATGTTCAATACTAGTATTGCAAAAAGAAGAAAAAAAAAGGAAGAAAGAAATTGTCTTGGTTACTTTTCTCTTGTTGCTGAGGCAAAATACCCGACACCCAAAATTAAGGAAGGAAAGGTTTATTTAGCTCACAGTTTGTGGAGGTTGTAGTCCATACTTGGCTGGCTCCGAGGCAGAGTGGCACATGGCAGAGGGCGAATGTTCATGGTGCAGAACACAGTAAAAACAAGAGCAAAAGGAAGGAATGTCCACAAGCAGCCTTTTTCCCTCCCTTACATTGTAAACAGGCTACCCACCCAGGGGACGTGTAGCACTCATAATCTCCATGTCCTCTTCTTGCACAGGCTCAGGATAAATACAAAGTAAGCACTCTGGCCCCCTGCTCAGTCACTTAGCCAAACCTGTAGACTCCCCAAGTTGACACAGTGTATCAACTATAACAAGTGCTTTGCATTTAGGAAGAGTAGAGAAAGTTAAAATGTATGTACTCCTATTTCCCTCCTTAATCTCGTTTTGTATTGTATTGCTTATTTATGTTTGTTTATTTATTTGAGAAAGGGTCTTGATATGTAGTCCAGGCTGGCCTTGAACTCAACAGTCCTTCTGCCTCAGCCTCCCAAATGCTGGTATTACAGGCATGGGCCACAGCACATTTTGGAAATATAAAGGATTACTAGGCCCCAGGCAAAATAATTCATTAGAGAATATCCATTAAGGGAAATTCTGAGAAATCTGGTTCCGTTCTTTGTTTCTCCTTTTCTTTTCTCCCAACAGTGATGAAAATAGCATCATAGACACTAGTACGTCTACACGTTTTTACATGCATATCTTTTTATTGTTTGGTGCTAGGAATTGAGCTAGGGCCTTGCATAACCTGTGCATGTACTCTGCTACCCCAGCCTGAGTGATCTTAATGGGCGGAAAATAACATTCAAAATGCTTGACACATTGTAGCTGTTCAGTAAGTGTTTAATTTCCTCAGTTTTATTTATTTATGAAGCTACTTAGTTTTGAGCTAACTTTAGATTCACAGAAAGGTACCAAGAAACATACAAAGAAGCCCCACTTGTCCTTTTTAAAAAAAAAATTTATAATTTTTTTATTTTAAAGAAAATAGAAAAACAGTGACAAAATACCAACAATATAGACAAAAACAAAACAAAGCAAAAACAATAAAAGTGATACAGGATTTCAAAACAAAATGATAGGAATTAACAGTGGTTGTTATCTTACATATTGTTATCATCAACGAAGTTGCTCAGATTACTAGATGTATGAATGCAAGATTGATCAAACCATTAAAGAGAATAAAAATAATAAAAAAACCCATCAAAACCAGTGGTATAGTTGTTAGCGTATTCAGATTTTACCAGATCTACATGCACTTGTGTGTTTTTGCCTGTGTCAACTTGACTGTACCATCACCATCGGATATGTTACCTGTTTACTTCTACATCCGTCCCCTACATGTATCCTCTAGCAACCACTGGTCTGGTCTCTGGCCCTGTAATTAAGTTATTTAATTAATTTTTTTTTTTGGTACCAGGAATCGAACTCAGGACCTTGCGCTTGCTAGACAGGTGCTTGTGCCACTGAGCTGTATTCCCAGCCCCAATGTTCAATGAATTTTTATCTGTAAGTGCATTTGTGTCATGTGTATGCTTTTGAGTTATTTTGGTTTTGAGTGTGTTTTTTAGATCAGAGAATTTTGACACTATTTTGCTTACTAATGGTTTAGCATAGAAAGTGTTCATATTTTTTTCTTATTCAATAGGTTTAACTTGCCAACATGTAAGTCACGCTGTCAGTGTGAATCATGTGAAGAAAGCAATAGCGGAGAATCTGTGGTCAGTTTGTTCAGAATGTTTAAAAGAAAGAAGATTCTATGATGGACAGCCAGTACTTCCTTCAGATATTTGGTTGTGCCTTAAGTGTGGTTTTCAGGTAAGAAAAGCATTACTTATGTATCAGTATATTTGATTTTCTCTTTGTTTTTATTTATTTATTTTTTGGGTACCAAGACTCGAACTCAGGACCTCTCACTTGCCAGGCAGCATATTCTCTTTACTATGAATTGAACTCTTGGTCATGCATAGGACTTACGATATATTTATTCTGTATTTAGATTGAGACTTTCCAAGGACAAACTTATGTTTAAGGTAATGTAAAATGTATGTTATTTTGAGAAGGTAATGATGTGTGGTTCATAAATCTTTTGAAAGGGACTTTTACTCACTTGCAGTAGCTCTCATATCTAGACCTGTCTTTATGGGGTTAATAATATCCCTTAGTTATTATGGGCTGATCAGGTCCGCAATCTCCTGAATGAGTGTACAATGAAGGCTAAATAAAAAGAAGCAAATGGAAATAATTTCAGGACCCGAGGAGGATCAAAGCCCTCTCACATAATTTAAGCTTCTCTTAGGGCTAAGACCAAGACCTTCTCTGGGTTGCCCATATTTATTTGATTATCAGAAGAAGGGAGGGGAGTACTCAAGAAGGGCAGAACCACTCCAGGCTTTCTCTAAGTAAGGTATGAAGTTAATCCACTGAAGAGTGAGATGCCTGAGGCTATAGTCTTCATCTAGTTGAGATCTGACCCAGGTGTCCTTGGCTGTGATCTTGTCTTATCCTTTGAGGCTTACTGGCTTCATCCACCACTACAGGTTCTAGTAGGGATTAGTGACTCACAGAGGTTCACTTACTATGAGTCCACCATTTCCAGATGAGGAGCCTAGGCCTTGGACAGATTCACAAGTGAACACGGAAAGCCAATTGGTTAATATTAAATCTTGTTCAGAGCCGCTTTGTGGTGGTCTCCAACATGTCTTTATCATTTGTATTTACTTAAACAGTGGATGTAACTTTTTAGATCCATTTTTTTCCTTAGAAAGGATTATTCTGCTTTGTTTTTGCAAAATAATTTATCTTAGAGCTTAGAAATTTTATCTATAATAAAAGAATTTTCTAGTCAAATTACAAGTGTATACTTTTAAAATAGAAAATAAGAGAAATATTTATCTCCAGGTAGAAAGTCCAGAAGGAGGGCCACTTCTGGTTGACTGAATTCAAGAGGAAGAACATTAAAAACTGAAGTTTCTGTCAGGCATGGTAGTGGATGCTTGTAATTTCAGCCCTTAGGAGGCTGAGGCAAGAGTACCATGGTGAGTTTGAGGCCAGCCTGGGCTACATAGTGCGATAAAGGCCAGCCTGAATTATGTACCGAGAACCTTGTCTCAAGCAAAAAAGACAGAAAAAGATTTTTACTACTTTTTTGCAATGTAGTCTCCATCCATACTTCAGGATGACTGAAATGCTTTAGACCTTATGTGTCACACAGCAATCTTCAAAGCCCATAAAGAGAGAAAAGAGTACATCCCTTTTCCTTTAAAAAGAATGTAAAACTCCTCCAGAGATACCATCAGACTTGGCTTTTTCTCCTGTCTGTTTAGTTACATTAGCATCTCTTTAGTTACATTATGAGGGAATTGCTATGGCTAATCTATGTCTCATTAGATCTCAATGAGCTGACTCGGAACTGTGTACAGGGTTGGGAAGTGTGCATTTGGGAAAGGCCGCACTGGCCTACCTGAAGGCTCAGTGTCCCACAGTGTTCACGACAAGGTGTGTAGACCTTTGTAAGTAAGCGGGAAATAACTTTGCCTTTGATTGTTTTAGGTAAATACTATGTAACAAAAAGTAAGTTCATCTCTTTGTAGAAATTGAGAGGAATCTGTATTGCTTTCTGAAACTGTTCTTTCTTGCTTGAAATTAAAAATAACCTTTTCAGTATATTTGAGTACTGTTTAAGTTTTGATTGATTTGAAACAAATTTTCTCTGTTCATCTCCAGGGATGTGGTAAAAACTCAGAGAACCAGCATTCACTGAAGCACTTCAAGAGTTCCAGAACAGAGTCTCATTGTATTGTAATTAATCTGAGCACATGGATTATATGGTAAGTTAAATTTTGCTAGTACTTTTCCCCATCAGAAACAAAAAAGCACCTTTTTTTTAGCTTTAACAAGATAAAATAAAGATGTTATATTAGTTTATCCTTTTTTAGCATGACCAAAATCTTGTAGAATAATTTAAGAAAATTAATATTTCCCATGAATATAAAGTTTAGTTTTTCCTCCACTTTTCTCTAACATTTCCTTTGTACCATAAATAAAAATTGCATCTAGTCGATTTTTCCTAATGTACTTTCTAATACAGAATTCCAGAGTTCTGTCCGGAAGATGCTTTAAGCAGTCATGTGGTTTGGTGATTCTGTAGGGGGAAGAGAAGCCTGTGCCTAAGTAGTTTGTCAAAACTTCCCAGGTAGCTAGGCATGGTGGCACACTCCTGTAATCCCAGCACTCTGGAGGCTGAGTCAGGAGGATTGCTGTGAGTTTAAGGCCAGCCTGGGCTACATATAGTGAGACCCTGTAAAACAAACAAATGAACTCTCAGATGATTTTAGTGCTTTACCTAGTTGAAAACCTAGTCTAGTTCCATCATTTTAGGTGCAAAGAAACTATTATTTGCTTTTTTTGGATTAGAAGTAAAAAGTAAAAGTCCAAGCACTGAAGACAAGGATGTGTACCTGTGTGTATGGTGCTGGGACTGAACACAGGGACACTGTCCCGGGCTATATCCCCAGCCCTTTTTATCCTTTACTTTGAGACAGGGGCTGCTTCAGACTTCCCGTTCTCTTGCCTCAGCCCCTCCCCGTCCCCCAGTAGCTGAGATTACAGGCATGTATCATCATGACTCGCCGAAACAAATTTTTCAGTTCGTTAGATTCTTAGCAGCCTAGTGCACTGTTTCAGTAGCATATATAGACATTATTTTGAAATGTTTTCCCTGTATTTTGCAACAGTAATTTCCTAATTGGAATCTGTGGACTCCTAAAGTTCCTTGAATGAATTTTCAGGAGTCTTCAGGCTTTCTTTAAGACAAACATGTTTCATCTTCGTGTTTTATGTCAAGCTTGTAAAACTAACACAAGGGTGTTTTGGCTCATAGGAGATAGCATTGTCTTAAAAGTTGATAGAGTTGTGGGGTTCTAGTGTTGGCTGCACTTATGTTTTTGTTGTTATTGGGTGCGTGAGGAAAGGACAGAGAAATGAATACGTAAATAATGCGTTGGAGGCAGGGAGAAAGGTGATGGCGGGTGATATTGTAGTGTAGTAGTGTGATAAGTATTTTCCTGTAGTGGGCTCTGACTGTGGAGTGTGTCAGAATTACCAAGAAGACTTGTTAAGACAGATTCCTTCATCCCAGGTCTAAAGATTTCAGTTTGATGGTTCTGAGTGTGGCCTGAGGATCTGCTCATCCAACAGGTTCCTGAGTGTTACCAGTGCTGCTAGTCTGCGGGTCAGTTTGAAAACCCCAGAAATAGAAAAGTTGGCAGGAGAACTAAGTGGCACTTAGAGAACAGGGTCGTCTCAAGTAACTGTGCCAGAATCTCTGTTTGTAAGTCGTATGGTATGAGTGATGATTAAATTTTCAGTGAATAAATCTTATCCAACATAATAAAATATAAACAAATAATAAATACAAATAAGTACTAAATAAGTTAAATCTGAGCCATTTTTCTTCTATCACTTAGTAATCAAGATGAAACCTTTGCAGTTATTTTATCCCTTTTTAAAAATCTGTTATTTTTTTTACTTAAAAATTTGTTTTTATTTTTTATTTTTTTTTTGTCTTTTCTTCTGGTACCAAGAATCGAACTCACGACCTTGCACTTGCCAGGCAGGCGCTTTGCTGCTGAGCTAAATCCCCAGCCCCAAAAATCTTATTTTAGTTTTTAATCTTTTAACAAAAACAGACAAAGTAGGTTGAATTCCTCTCTACCCATTACCTGCCTTTGGACAATTATCAACTCACAGCAAATCTTATTTTATCTTAGTCATTGAGTGTCTCAGTACAGATGATGTTTGTACCTATAATCCTGTCTTTTTTTTTTTGAGACAGGGTCTCGCTATGCAGTTCAGGCTGCCCTTCAGCTCACTTTGTAGCCCAGCCCAGCCTGGCCTCGAACTCACAATGATCCTCCTGATCCTCCTGCCTCAGCCTCTTGAGTGCTGGGATTACAGGCATGCGCCACCATGCCCGGCCATACCTGTAATCCTTTGTTGTGATCAATTCTTTGTTGTACTGTTGTCTGGGTTACAGGATGTTTAGCAGCATCCCTAACTTGTACCCACTAGATGCCCGTAGCAGCCAAGAGATAACCAAAACTACCTCTAACCGTTGGGAAAAGTCCCATGGGGATAAGGTTATCAGGGTCAAGAGTCACTGATACACCCCTGCCTGCTGTCCCATTGTGGTTACTTTGACACTTGCCCCTTCCTCATCTTTTACACCTAATTCCTTACTGTGTCTGCCTGCAGTGTATGAAATATGTCCTCTTCTCTCCAGATTCTTGCTATGACACCGATCTATTTGTATCCCTAATGCCCTCCAGTCTAGTTTATCACGTTATTCAGAGTGATGTTTTTAAAATATAAATTGGGCCATGTCATTGCCTTGCTTAAAATCTCCACGGGCATTTCATTATATGCAAGGCAAACTGCAAAACTGTCCTTTGCACTATGAAGCTCTGTATGACCCTGTCTCAGAAAACAACAGTGAAAAAGAAAGACAGAAGTGGTCAAAACCAACTTTGTTTCTGAATGTATAAAATTATTTAAGGTACTTCCATAACATTTGATTTAAACGTATGTTTTTCAGGTGTTACGAGTGTGATGAAAAATTATCAACACATTGTAATAAGAAGGTTTTGGCCCAGATAGTTGATTTTCTTCAGAAACATGTCTCTAAAACACAAACAAGTAAGTTAAACAATTGGTTAAGGAATTTATGTTAACATATATTGTGTATTTCACCTAACGGATTCATAAATTCGTGAAGATTTCACTGTGACATCGTAGTCTGTAATTTGAGTAAAGATATTGTGATGGATAAATCTTTTTTGTTTGGTTGGTTTTTGCTTGTTTTTGGGGGAGGGAAGATTTGAGACAGGGTCTCAGTATGTAGTTCAGGCTGGCCTTGAACTAGTGATGATCCTTCTGGCTTAGTTCCTAGGTGCTGGAATCACAGATGAATGCCACCATGCCCAGCTTGTTTGTTTTTTGATGCCTGCCATATAGTTCAGTCTGGTTTTGAACTGACTGTGTAGCCCAGGTTGGCCTTGAACTTGCAGCGATCCTCCTGCCTCCGCTTCCCAAGTGCTGGGATTATAGGCATGCACCACCATAGCCGGCAGTGATGGGTTAATCTTGTTAACTTGATTGGTTTGAGAGATGCCTAGGACATTAATTAAGCGTACTTCTGTGTGTGTTTGTGTGGGTTGTGGGGCATTACCTTGGCTTCTTGTTACTTTCTTGTTGCTGAGACAAAATAGCTGACACCCGAAGTAAAAGGAGGAAAGGTTTATTGTAGTTTGTAGAGGTTTCAGTCCACAGTTGGCTGGCTCCAAGGCAGGATGGTATGGTAGAGGGGCATCGTAAGGAAGCAGTAGTCCATTGGAGGGCTGCTAGGCAGCAGAAGCAGCTGGGAAATCTCCTTTTAAGTGCTATCTAGGCTGTACCACACTCAGGCTGGGCCTTCCCATTAGCCATACCCAGAATTATGCTAAACCAATCAGTGGACTAATTTAGCAATCACTCCCTCCTATCCTACCATCATACTCTTAATCCTAGCATCACACACCCTTGATCCAGCCACCTCCAAAAAGGCTTTGGAAGGACATCTGGGTACAAGCTATCATACCTGGACCACATCTGGTCCCTGGCACCTTCCTCTCTTTGCTTGGAAGCTAAGTACTTCTCAGGGTCTTTAGTGTGCTAATGTAGAACCAGTTTGGTTTTTTTGTTTTGTTTTGTTTTGTTTTGTTTTATTTTTTTCTGGTACCAGGAATCGAACTCACGACCTTGTGCTTGCTAGGCAGGCACTGTGCCCCTGAGCTAAATCTCCAGCCCCCACCTTCCTCTCTTGACCTTCCACATTCCGCTTTTGACTGCTATGAGCTAAGCAGCTTTCTCTGCCATGACATTTCTTCCTTGAAGCCAGCTGACCACAGACTGAAACCTCTGAAACTATAAGCCAAAATAAACCTCTCTGCCTCTAAATAGTGTCAGATGTTTTTTCCCAGCCAGGAAAAGGTGAGTAATACAGTAATTACGTCATATGTTCTTAGGTGGCAGTCTCATAATGTTGTCTTGTGATGTGTGTAGGTAACTAATATGAAAGCTGAAGTATAAGTGACTAGATGATGGGCTTTTAGTCACACAGTCCTGAGAGTACACTGGATTCCTCCTCTTATTGGCTGTGAGAACTCTATCTTGTGAGGCTTAGTGATGATATTTTGTAAACGTAGAAAGAATGTGTGTGGGGCTGGGGATTTAGCTCAGCGGCAAAGCGCCTGCCTGGCAAGTGCAAGGTCGTGAGTTCGGTTCCCGGTACCGGAGAAAAACCAAAAAAAAAAAAAAAAAAAAAAAAAAAAAAAAAAAGAAAGAATGTGTGTAAAGACACATGCATGATGCCTGACACCTATTTATGGAATGGTCTCTGTTATTATTTACTACATAACTGCAGTGCAGTTCTGATACCGACTACCTGGGATTAGGCCAGACCTCATGATTAAAGACTCAGCTTGTGCACAAGACTGCTCTCACTGCAGACATCAGCCATCATCTCAGATTTCCAGGCCACCGTATTTCTGACTAAACCAGCTACAAATATGGGAGTCCCTATGACTTCTTCAGATTTGATAATTCACCAAAATAATTTGGAAAACTCAAGAAAGTGCTGTACTTAGAATTATGTTTTGTTATAGCAAAAAGCAATACAAATCAGGCCCAGCCTAAAGAAGAGGCACATATGGAAAGGCCTGAGAGGCTCGCAAATACAAAGCTTCTGTGTCCACTCCCCAGGCAGTGAGGAGATAACATCCCACCCCCAACACACACACGGCTCCAACAGAAGGAAGTCCCCTTAACCAGGGAAGCTCAGGTACTGAGAATTCTAACTGGGTTCTCGCTGTGTAAGCAGGAGTGCTTGTATCACGGGCTACTTCAATTCAGTCTCTGTATCCCAGCTCTAATCACATGGTTTGTCTTTCGCGTAAACTGTCTAGGAGACCTTGATGAGTCACTTTGTCTACATGAAGTGTCTGCTGTGGATCAAAGGGCTGACCATGAATAACAGATATTTTTTAAAAAAATTTTTATTTTAAAGAGAGTAGTAAAAACAAAAAAAAAATAGCAAAATACCAACATCACAGACATAAAACAGCAAGAACATTAAAAATGATACAGTTTCAAAACAAAATGATACTGTTGTCTTCAACGTTGCTCAGATTACCAGATGTAAGAATGCAAGATTGTTCAAACCATAAAGAGAATAAAAAAATAATTATTAAATAAAATGTTAGAGTCAATACAGAGTTACACTAGACAAAATGGTAGGAATTCAATATTCTTGTCACTCTGGAAAGTGCAAGAATTTAGAGAGTCCCTGCCAGGAAGCTGGAACGTAGGTCAGCCAAATCCTTTATTATATGACAGTAATGTATTATATATTGCATAGTTTTTTAATATATACTGCTAGGTAATGTGTTGATAGACAGTAAGAGCGTTGAGGGAACCAGTTCCTTCATCCAAAAATAAATGCCTCCCACATGCCAGATACTGTAGTTGTTCAGTCTTGAGTAGTGAAAAAAAATTATCTGGCTGTCTTGGGGTTTAGAGTATAGTGAAGGAGACAAAAAGTAAGCAAATATATAAATTCTGGTAAGTGCTACAGTGGGAAGATTGCGGTGATAGGTAATAATATGCTGTTGGTCACAGTGGTTGAGAGAAGCCAGTATGACTGAAGTGTAGCTTTTTGGGGGAGAATAGAATGAGATGAAGTTACAAGCTGGGTGTGCAAATCATGAAGGATTCTGTAGGGAATTACATGGTTAAAAAAAATTCAGTTATAAAGTGTATTGGAAGGTATTAAAGTGTTTTAAGCGGGGGATATGATAGTCATTTCAGTGTGTGTTTAAAAAATAAGTATAACTGGTTACTCTATGGAGAGCAGACTGTAGGGGTTAAGAATGGAGGTGCAACTGGGGGGATCTCTAGAAAGATTACAGGAGGTTATGGCAGGGCAGGGGAGTGACTAGCAGGAGCTCTGGTGGAGAGTGGGTGGATTTGTACAGTGAGTGAGGCAGAGTAGGTGGAGTTAAGTATAATCCTCAGGAGTTTGACTGAGCAACTAGGTGAGTGGGAGTGAATGGCTCTGTTAAGTTTGAGGCAGAATTGAGCTTCTTAGGTGGTGGCATCAGAAACTGAAAAGTCGTGTGAAAATATAGTTGGCCAAAAAACCCCCCAAACAGACATAGTTGCCAGTTGTATTTCCTATAGATCAGTATATAGTTGTCCTTGTTAGCTGTCTCTCTAATGAGATAATAGCACAGAAATTGGAAGAGCTAGAGGAGGTAAACCCAGGTTCCTGGACAGCAAGAGAGATGATTAATTTTATCACTCATTCGTGTACTTATACAATATTGAACTGTTTTGGGCATGCCAGTCATAGCTCCATTTCTCTAATAAAGAGCCAGGTAAGTATTGGTTCTTTATTATGTCTGCACCTTTTATGTCTGTGGAAAGACTTTTGATACTTCAGAAACTGAGGTAAGTAAGCCTTAAAGCTGTCTCCTGATAATGCTTTCTTTTTTTGCGGCGGGGGTGGGGGGTGCATGAAAAGAAGATACCCAAGCATATACTATGATGCCAAGGGTGATGAAAATAGAATTGTAGAATTTATTTTGAGTTTGGTACTTTAGAGAGTTTCTGAGACTAAGAACAAAGCCAGTCTGATTTCCCCTCAGTTTTACAGGAAGGATGGGGGGGGAGCGTGGGGGGGAGTGTGGGGTGGGTGGAGGGTTTGGAATTGAGTGTTAAAAAAGATAAAGGATCTGGCATTCAGATTTAACACTCAGAGCTGGGTGTGGTGATGCACACCTCTAATCTTAGCACTCAGAAGGCTGAGGCAGGAGGATCACTGTGAGTTCTCAGCCAGTCTGGGCTACGTGGTGAGTTCAAGGCCAGCCTGAACTACATAGTAAGACCCTGTCTCCAAACAACCAAAGCCCAAACAAACAAAAATCTAATTTACCAAATTTAACATTCAGTCATTTGCTATTTGACCTTGGGCAGATCACAGTTATGGGAGCCTGATTTTTAACTCGGCACTTTCTTGTTCTTCCTGTGATGCTGTAGTAGTAGAGGTTGGTAGGTTCCTCCCCTTAGTAGTCCTAAAATCTGAAAGAAGTTGTAAGATGTAATTGGAATACAAGTAGAATAAGGTTTCTCTTTTTTATTTATTTACAAAAATTTCAGTATCTATTTTAATTGATGTTCCAAGCCCTTCAGGTGTCCCGAGAGGCTTGTCTGTCCACTTGAGAAGGAAAGGAACCGTGAGTGAGCTGGCTTTGAAGCTGACCTTAAAGGGAAACAGGCAGAATAAGAAATATCTTCTGGTAATAGGAAGCATTAACAGGAACTAATTCTCTAATTGTGTTTGTGGAACTGTGAGTAGCTCCCGGGATGGTGGGAAGTGCGCTCTTGAGGTCGTTCGAGTCTCCAGAGTTAGAGTGACATGTAGTTCTGAACTCATGTTTCCAGATGGCAAAATGGCCTCACCTTTGTGGACCGAGCTACAGAATCCCCCAGGGAAGTTTGATTTAAAGTAATTTCCCTTGGGAGTTTAGATTAATAATCTGCTGTACCTTGGTATGAAGCATCAACATATTTTTATAAAATACTTGAAAAGCAAATATGAAAATCAAATATTGAGGTTTGTGAAAACACTGAATATAATTTTGCAGTTATTTTAAATGAGAATTGTGAAGACTCTAAACATGTAAAAATGCCTGTATAATTCAAGAGGAGTATGAAATTATATATTGTATGGGGTGGGAGGATAAGAATGATTTTCAGTTTTTTTGCATTTTTGTACTAAGTACTGAGAAGAAAGCTGTACCTGCAGCTTAAAAACATTTTTATTTTTTTATTTTTATTATTTTTTTTTTTTTTTGGTTTTTCTCCGGTACCAGGAATTAAAAACATTTTTAAATTATGCAGTGCCTGCCCTAATTTTGTTTCTAATACGTGTGACAAGCTTATTTACATAGGGCACTTCGGCTAATGTCCCATCCACCTCAAAAAACAAATAGCTCATTGCATTGTAAATTTTTGGTCTTAGTACCCCTTTTAGACTCTTAAAAAAATTACTGAGCATTCAAAGAGCTTTAGTTATATAGGTTATCTCTATCAATACTTACCATGTTAGAAATTAAAACTAAAAATTTTAAATATTTGTTCACTAAAAAATAATAATCCCATGGCACAAATACCGTATTTTTCTTTTCTTTTTCTTACAGTACTAGGGATTGAACCCATCTCCTTCACACTGAATTACATCCCTAGCCCTTTTATTATTATTCTTATTTTGTGACAGGGTCTTGCTAAGTTACCCAGTCTGGAAGAGATTTTGTGATTCCCCTGCCTCAGCCTCCTAGAGTGCTGGGATTACAGGTGTGCATGACAACATCCAGCTCTTATTTTCTTTCTTAAAACTGTGTGTTATTTTTGAAGATTAGCTTTTGGCCGCCTTTCTTTTTTCTTTCTCTTGTGGCTAATCAATAAATACTTGCTGAATTATACTTAATTGGAATGTGAACAGTTTTTACTAAAGGAGTAAATAGCTTTTACTTTTACTCCCAAGCCCCTGAATATAAATATCCAAAATTTTATTTATTCATTCAGTTTTTTAATGTATTTGCATTTCCACCTTATGCTAGTGCTGTACTAGATAGTTGTCAGAGATCTGTCTTGTGGTTTCTCGGGGGCTATAGACAGGTCATACTTAGGTGTTCTCTCAGAAGTGCCGTGATGAGCAAGCACAGGGGATGAAGGAGAGCACCTTGGAATTGTGTCTAACCTAGACTCCAAGAGCCAGGAAAACATATTTAGAAAATTTTAAGAAGACAAGAACTGAAGGCTATGGAGAAATTACCAGGCACTAGGAAAAAAAATACATGTTTCAGACGGAGAGAGTAGCTGGCTGACAAAAAAGTCTAGTAAGTTTAGGGAATTCTATATAAAGCAGGAGGGTTGGGTTTTGTGACACCGAGGGATGGTGAGAGGTGAGACTGAGAAGATAAGCAGGAAGGGATGTTTACAGGCCTTGTAAGTTAAATTCGTCCTTAAGGCACTGAAGAAGCACAGTTAGGTGTTAAGCAGGTTAGTGGATGGTCAGATGTGTATTTTAGATACTGACTCGTAGTAGAAGACAGATAAGAATCAGTGTCTTTCTCCCTCCCCCCTTACTCCCTCCCTCCTGCCTATTTATTAGGCCAGTATAAATTTCTGATGTAATTAAATAAGTATATCTAGGGCTAATGCTTAGTTGTACGTTAGATTTTGAGAATAAATAGGTGAACTTCATTATTAAGTGGTTTCAAGGTAGAAGAATTATGGGAAAGCAGGTTTTTCCTTTTAAATATGAAACTTCTTAAACTGGGCGTGGTGGTGCACGCCTGGGGAGGGGGATAAGGCCAGCCTGGGCTCTGTAGTGAGTTCAAGGCCAGGCTGAACTAATATAGTGAGACCCTATCTCAAAAAAACAAAAATGAAATAAAATAAAGAAGGAAGTTCTTTTCTGCTGGAGAAATGAGCAAATTACATTAATGCTACATGGCTGGCTTAGGTAATTGCATTAAGCAGTGAAGATGAAGCCCAGTGCAGGTTCCCAGAAGAATGCTTACAGCTGTGTAGATTTCACATCTGATGTTAGAATTTGCCTTAAAAAAACAAACTCCCTCCACTCTCACACCGCATACACATAACGAAAAGGTCATATATACTACAATAGGGGCAAACATACATTGTTGTGAGATCCAACCAGAAATGTGTATTATTTAAAAGCAGACCACAAGGCTGGAGAGAGTAAAAAGATAAGTGGCTGCCAGCAGGAGAAATGAATAGACATAGCACTGCCCATTTGTAGGGCAGTGGAACTACTTTGTGTGATACTGTAAGCACTGATATATGTCATTATGCATTTGTCCGGATCCACAGGGTGGTACTGATCGTCAGTGTATGTTCATCATGTGTAATAAATGAACCATTTTGGTGGAGGAGGTTATACATGTGTGAAGGTAGGGGGTGTATGGCTCAATTTTGCTGTGAACCTATAAGGTGCTTTTTTTTTTGAGATAGGGTCTTACTGTGCAGTTCGGACTGGCTCTGAACTCACTATGTAGCCTAGGCTGGCCTTGAACTCACATTGCTCCTCCTGCCTTAGCCTCGTGCTCAGATCAGAGGCATGTGCCACCATGGCCAGCTAAAGCTGCTTTAAAAGATACACTTTTGAAAAAGTGAGCCATGTTCTTTGAAAGGCTAAAGAAATATACTGTTTCAGTAGTCTTGTACATGTCACCAAACTATTCTACAAATATTTATAAAATGTAGGAATTTCTAATGATACAATATAAAATATCATTTAAGTGTTGGTTTGCTTTTTTTTGTACCGGGAATCAAACTCAGGACCTTGCGCTTGCCAGGTAGGCGCTTGTGCTGCTGAGCTATATCCCCGGCTGGTTTGCTTTTTGTGAAGTAGACAGGTGACTGACAATCCCACATTCTTTGACAAACGAATACATCTCATTCATAATGTTAATACTGGTGCAATACCATTTTTGACAAAATTAGAGAGTAAAGTATGTATTCTGTTAAGTTCATTAATCTAATACTTTTGGTATACAAAAACTGAGTTACCATGTTCTTTTGGTTTTATAAAGTATAACTTTTTGTATCAATTTTTAAAAAAAGATAGTGGTGTGTTTGGAATCTAAAACTCTTGAGGATAACTGACATTATGACCTTTTATAGTAACAGTTCGGGTTTTTTTGTTTTTTGTTTTTTGGTACCAAGAGAACTCAGGACCTTATGCTTGCCAGGCAGGCGCTTGTGCCACTGAGCTATATCCCCGACACCCTGTAGTAACAATTTGAATGTGGTTTAATACGTAAAAAACTAGGTAATATATATATATATATATTTTTTTGGTTTTTTCTCCGGTACCGGGAACCGAACTCACGACCTTGCGCTTGCCAGGCAGGCGCTTTTGCCACTGAGCTAAATCCCCAGCCCCAAAACTAGGTAATATAGCTTGTTCTGCTATAAAGCAATGGTGGTACTCCTAAAAAATTGGCATTTTCAGAAATGAGCACCCAAATTAAATGTGTTACGTACATATACGAGCTGTCCATGATGAATGTAATCACTGTATACTGCAAACATGTACTAATAAAAGTAAAGATTTAATGAATTTTAAAAATAACTACTTTCATGTATACAAGGGGTTGGGACAAAAAGATAGTAAATCCAGAGTTCCTCCTCTGAACTACATAACACAAAAGAATTATTTCAATGACTGTTTTCTTATTTCTCCCAAAGATGGCTCATAATGCTACCCTTTCAGGTGTGAAGAGGGAAGTTAATTGCATACAGTGAGTGCCTTGGGCATTAGGGCTGAATTTTTTGATAGCCAGAGTAATAGCCTTTCCTATCATATCACCACTCAGTTTTCATTGGTGTCCCAAGTTGCTACCACATTTCTAACCCTTACCCATCATTTATTAGAATGAATGGGATCATAATGTTGTTTGTGTGTGTATTCTGAAGTTAGACTGTGTGGGTGTGAGTTTTATATCTAACAGTAACCAGCAGTACGCTTTCGTTTGGTTGTGGTCTCTAAAGTGAGGACAATTATCAGAGGTGGTAATGGCCTCAAGCTTTTGCTTTAAATAAGTAAACTGAAAAATAGTTTAATTTTTCCTTGCCTATATGAGAAAAAGAAGCATTGTCTCTTTAATATTGAGAAAAGAGAGACACAAATACAATATTACTTGGGAACAAACCCACCGTTGGTTATTTAATTTTCTTCTGTGACAAACAAAGCTGCATCTTTGTGTACTTGCTCTTTTGTTTTGTAGGTTAAAGTTTTTTATTTTTGAGGAAGGATCAGTTTTATTTATTTTTTTTAAATTAACTTTATTGGTATATTTTAGATACGCATGATGATCGCATTCATCCTAGGGAATTTGTACCTGTAAATGACATGTCTTGATTCTTTTTCCCCAGCTCCCTCCCCTTTACTGCTCAATGTGTATCCCAGGCTTGCCTCAAACTTGAGGCAGTCTTGCCTCAGCCTTTCGTGTGCTGGGATTACAGTTGTGCACCACCATGCCCTCTACAGAAGAAGAGAGTTTTTAAAGTGACAATGACCTAAAATATTTGTACTTCCAGACAAAGCTTTATTGTGTCTGTAAACAAAATGATGAATATTACTTTTCTTAGAAATTATAACTTGCTTATTAAGACACACATACTTGCATCTATGTCATAATTGAAAGACTGACTCAGACACCCCCTTTTAAATTAGGATCTTAACTCTTAGCCATTTCTTAGTGAGCAAATATACACATATTTATTGATATGTTGTCATAAATTTATAAATCTAAAGCTTACCATCTCTGTGCTGTTTATTATGTATCAATTCCTTATATTTTGGTCATAAATCATAAACAAGTATAAGCAGTTATATTTAGTGGTTCATAAAGCACCTGGCATACAGTGGACATTTGACAAATGAATTTAAATTATTACATATTATAAACTACTTACTAAAAACACTTGCACTTTTACTTTAAATACATCGCTATTTAGGTCTTAGACTGTTACTCTATTTTGTAGTTGAATTACCTAATCTGGTTAATATTCCAGTCTTAGGACACTGTTGGTTTGGAATTCATTCTCACTGACTCACATGTAAAAGTCAGCAGACAGACTCTTGCCACTTGTGTGAAGTGGCTATTTAACCATGAAATAAACTGTGTTTATTGCCACTGCCCTGTGGCTATGCTCTTTCTGGCAGTGATGTCCATATTTGGTGGCTGTGCATGGAGAGCCAGGTGGTGCTGAAAAGCATCGCACAGTGAAGCGTGGATGTGTCTAGGTTTGACATTTGTCATCCCTCGCTGCTGAAGGGAAGGGGAAAATCTGTTTTTCCATATGTTTGTGCTTTTTTTTTGCCTGCAGTTTTGTCCAGATGGTCTTATGAACATTGTTTACTTTGGGATGCCATCCCAGATGTTTTGAAAACTGAGGGGTAAATGTGGTGCACAGATAGGTAAATTACTTGCTTATTGCACTTTTTAAAATACTGTGTGTTTTTGTAGGATTAAATATGATTGGGGGGTATTTTTCCAAGTTAATAATATGTATATATATATATATTTTTAACATATGGTTATATTCTGTAGATTATTTCTCCCAGCATTCTGTTTTCATGTTAAAAAGTGAAATAATATAAAGGCAAAATTTATTAGGAATGTTAAGTAAGGAAAATACTTTTGAGGATCATATTCGTTCAGGGTTGCATTTACTCAAAGCTGTAAGCATCTTTCCCCATTTAAAAAAATAATTACTTTTCTTGTATGTAAATCATGGATGAAAACTGAGGTAGTAAAATGACATGGACTTAAAATTGGAAGATTATTACTATGATTCTGAGCAGATCACTCATCTGAGACTGAATTTTATAAAGGTAAAATTGAAGTTTACTGCCTTGCCCTAAAAGATAGTGCTTCGAGTAGTTAACTCTTTCATCTTCAGTTATTAGAAATGGTTGGCAGTGGATGCAGTGAGAATCTGCAGCTGCCTGCTGTGGGTCCCACTTGGTATCCCAGACACTCATGGGACAGACCGCGCTGTCTGCAAACCAAGCCAGGTTCCATATCCAGCTCCCTCTGTGTAGTGTTTCTTCAATACCGGCAACTTTTTCTGCTTGATTTTGTGGTCACTTCCAGGCTCAAAATACTGTTGCCCTCGGCCTCCTTTTCCTTTTCTCTGTGCCTGGCCTCCGATCCTCAGTGACCCACTCCATTGATTGCTCTGGGCTGTGCTGCACACTTGTCATTAGTGCAAGATTAATTTCTCACCACTTAGTTTAATATCTGGCGGGGAGGAGAAGAGACCTATCCTTTGTGCATTAACTCAAGATCATGGGGTTAAGAGCTAAAAACAACTCCTTAGTATCTGAAACAACTCCTTAATATCTGAAAAACAATATCCAACAGCAACCAATAATATTTTTTAAAAAACAAGGATATAGGGGAGAAAACAGGGTTTATGAAAAAAATGCAGTATAGGATAGGAAAAAGGTTGTTAGAACTTGAAGAAAAACCTTTTCTGTGAAACAGACTTGCTTAATGAAAGAAACATCTTAGAAACCTGTCCATTTTTCTTAGTGAGCTATTTCTACATTTTGAAAAGAAAAGTCAAACAAGGGTGTAGCTCAGGGGTAGACTGCTTGCCTAGCATGTGTGAGGCCCTGGGTTCAGTTCTCAGTACCACACACGCATGCGTGAAAGAAATCAGAGAATACCCACAATATATAGGAAATTAACGAAGAGAAGAAAAAATATGAAGGCACACAAGGGATAGAAATGAAATGAAGGAGCTCATGATGATTCAGGCTTTGGCACATACAACTTTTTTGAGAGGCTCTCACGATTGCTTAATTTTAAATACTTGCATAGTGCTTACTGTTCCTGGAACTTTGTATTATTACTTCAATTGATCTTCATGGAAAAAATGTATGAGAAAATGTGTTAGCTCTGCTTCATTGCTAAGTGAAGCCCCATATCTCTGTGCTTTTTCTTTGGCAAGAGTCACAGGTACGACATCAACCTGCCTCTACCTGAGGCTAAGACTTCTCTTTGTGATGTTTGCTTTCTGTTCCTGTCCCTGAGAACAAGGTCACCTTTGTCCTAGTTCATCTCTTTTAAAGCTCCTGCAAAACTGAGGGGAGGTATCTTCATTTATTTCCTGGTTAGAACTCAGTCATAGATATAGGAGTGCTAAATTTCTGCTGGATCTGTACTTTAATCTTGTAGATACTTATTTATGTTGATTTTTAATGTATGTTCTGAGACACAGAGCAGGGCTAAGAGGCATTCCCTGATCTCTGTCAATCAGCCAACATTGAAAAACGTTAGTGACATGAGGTAGCGCGTTAGTGTTAGAAAGGTTACACATGTAAAGAACTATAAATTCTGAGGGTTGAAAGGCATTTAAAACAATAACCAGTTAAAACCAAAACATTTGAGAACTTGGGAATTTCCTGTCAAACTGCAAGTTACAGTCAGTCCTCCATGTTCGTGGGTTTAGTATCCATAGATTAACCAACAGCAAATCAAAATATTTGTGAGAGAATTACACTTGCACCACACATGTACAGACTTTTTTTGTTACTCCCTAGGTAGTACAGTTTAACCGTTATGTACGTATGTACATCGTATTAGCTACTAAAAGTAACCTAGAGATGATTTAAATTTATAGGAGGAGGATATATGAAGGTTATGTGCAGATACACTGTTTCATATGAGACTTGAGTGTCCACAGATTTGGGGGTCCTGAATCCAGTCCCCGAGGGTACTGAGGGATAGCTGTATCTCACATCCCCTAGGGATTCAGAGGGCAATTTTCTGTCAAGTCAATATGATCAACCAGGTCATTCATAAATGGTAGATATTGTTCTTTATTTTTATATTCTTGTTAAACATGAACCAGCAATGTAATTTTCACATGTATATTAATTATACAAATGGATTAGCCCCAAACATACTTTTATGTATCAGATTCTTACTACTTTTTGTATTATACTATGGCTGTATTAATTTCCTTAAACCTCTTCATGTGTGTGTGTGTGTGTGTGTGTGTGTGTGTGTGTGTGTAGGAGGTTACTAGGGTGTGAACCAGGGCCTTGTGCATGGTGGGTAAGTGCTCTGCCACTCAGCTATATCCTCAGCCCAGTTTTTCAGGCTTTTAGTTTTGACAGTTTCAAACTAAAAGGAAAGTTGTAAGAATCATAATTAAAAAAAAAACCTACTGTACCCGCTACTAAGATGGTGATTTTCCCAATTCTGTCATTTCTTGTTTATTATTTGGCCTTGGAATTCCTCTTCCCCTTTTTTCCTCATTTAATATCCGTTATTAACTAATCCATTACTCTACGAGTGATGATCTGTTATACTGCCTACCCTTACTTACATTGATGGTCAGTTTGTGAATTGGACAGTGGGAGCCTGTTCAGTATGGGCCTGAGGTTATTTTTTGGTGGTAGAGGGTAGGCATTGGGACAGGGTCTTGCTATGTATTTCAGGCAAGCCTTGAACCGAGGCAGTCCTCCTGTCTCAGCCTCCTAAGTACTGGGATTATAGACATGTGCCACTATGCCTGGTTTGGGCCTGTGTGTTTTGCCTTACTCCTACTGGTTTTGCATCTTTACTGCCCCAAGGCTTAAAATCAGCCTTTTCTTCCAGGAACCCTCATTCGTTTTAAGTGGGGAGTAGTATTTAGAAGCTAGATCTTTTCTGAATCACTTTTCTTTTATTTTTTTCTCATTTACTAATTTTGAATCAGGGTCTCACTATGTAGTCCAGATCTTGTGATCCTCCTGCATCAGCTTCCCAAGTAGTAGGATTACAGGTATATGCCTCCAAAACCTGCTGTACTTGTTTCTTGATGGTGTTTCAGAATATTTAATTTTTTAATTCATCTAGAATTTTTCAGGGCTGGGGATTTAGCTCAGTGGCAAAAGCACCTGCCTCGCAAGCGCAAAGTCGTGAGTTTGATTCCTGGTACCAGAAGAAAACAAAACAAAACAAAACAAACAAACAAATAGAATTTTTTTCTGTACTGTGATGTGAGGTACAAATCTGTATTTTAAACAAATTTAAATTAACTGCAGTAGCAGTGCAATGTAAACCAGAGACATTTGTGTTCGTGTTCTTATCCTTCAGGAATGTTGATTCAGAGAGACAATCTTAATTTTAAATAATATATTGAAACTGCCAAATGACAAATGTAAAATGTTTAATTTTATATCTCATGTCAGTTATGTTTTCTCTGACTTGTAGGTACCTTTTCTAGAATCATAAAACTTTGTGAAGAAAAACGTGAAACAAGTGAAATAAAGAAAGGAAGAAAAAGTAGCAATGTGTCATCTGTAAAAGGAATTACAAATTTAGGAAATACTTGCTTCTTTAATGCAGTCATTCAGGTAAGAATTAACAGAAATATTTGTAAAATGTAAACCCTTAATTTATATGTACATTGGCACATCTGTAGACTGTTAAGTAACTGCTCAATTTTCTAGAAATTTCTGTTTTATTTCTTTCGTTTAGGCTATCTGCATATTATCATATACATGCACTCACCTTGTTTTCACACAGTGATTCTGAAAGCTTTTCTGTGTATTTTACCATAATTTTATTGGTAATAGTGACATTTACTAAATGTCATATGCAGTAAATTTAGAAAATTTAGACAGTTTTGCTATGGTTGATGAGATTTGAGATTTTGAGAGAGTGTTCATTTCATATGATTTTATATCTAATATAACTGAATAATATAACTGAATCAGAAGACTTTACTTTTACTTTCTTTTAGAACTTGGCACAGACTTATATTCTTATTGAACTAATGAATGAAATAAAAGAAGATGGTACAAAGTTAAAGATCTCTCCTTCCACAGATTCTCAGCTGGTAAGAAGTCTAATTATCTAGATAATAGCTATTTTCTTTTTTTTAAATTTGATAATAGCTATTTTCATATGAGCCATTGATGTTGCCAAAATACATCTTTTCTATTTCTCAAAACTCTCAGTTGGAATGGTAGTCAACGGATTTAAAAAAAATAATTCACAGCCGCGCGTGGAGGTGCATGCCCATAATCCCAGCACCTGGGACGCTGAGGCAGGAGGATCCCTGTGAGTTCTAGGCCAGCCTGGGGTACATAGTTCAAGGCTGGCCTGCACTACAGGCTATCTCAAAAAAACAAACCAAAAAAAATTCAAAAATATTTTGTGAAAATAATTAAAGTTTTTAAAATCAGAAACTTAAGATACATTATTTAAATACATTTTGGATCAAATGCCACAGACTCTGAGACAGCTTTTAAACAAACATAAACAAAAGGGATTTAACTTGTTGAGCAAAATATCTGGGACTCCTGTTTTTTTGTCTTTCTGAGACAGGGTCTCGCTATGCAGTTCAGGCTGGCCTTGAGCTCACTATGTAGCCCAGGCTGGCCTCGAACTCACAATGATCCTCCTGCCTCTGCCTCTGAATGCTGGGATTACAGGCGTGCGCCACCACGCCTGGCTTTGGGACTCCTGGTTTATAGTTATTAGTGGCATTTGTTTAAATTTAGCGTTTTGTTCTTTATAAGTAGATTTAATGGGGAGCCGAACTTAATCTGAACTTCTTCTTGAAGACTAGTCTGATAATGGGTTTTTAAGATAGTGAGGAAAGAAGAGAAACAAACTAGCAAATTAAAACAAAAGAGCAGTCCCTGACATCCAGAATTCACCCAACACCCAGAGTCAGGCTGTTAGTCAGTCTCACGGGAAAGCAACTGAAGACTAGGTTTCTCTGAGACAGTGATAAAATGAGACAAAGGATGGCCACTTCATAATTTGTTTAAACACAGACAAAAACATTGTCTTTTAGCCAAAATGAGAAATAGATTATTACTGTTTCTTCTCTAGGTACAGATTTGATCCTTGTTGTCTCCTCTCATTTTCCATGAGTAAATCTTATTGAAAGAACCCTCATAGAATTTCCTGTTTGCTGACAGCATCTAGTCTAGAGTGAATCTCCACTTCTTTATGTCCTTCTAATTACCCAAGTCCTATGTAGGTTCCTTGTAATACCCTCTTACTGAGAACCCCATGGCGTCTCAAGGTGTTTGGTTCACCTCACTGCAGCAGTCACTCACTTTGTTAACTAGAGGTATGTTCTGATAGGCTGTGGCTGTAAGGAATTGATTGTAGTAAATAGGACTGTAAGTAGAAATTGAGAGCTGGAAGCTGGGTGTGATGGTATAAGCCTGCAATCCCACCTACTCAGGAAGCTGAGACGGGGATCACAAATCTGAGGCCAGCTTGGGCAACTTCATGAGCCCCTTCCCCGAAGTAGGAATTGAGAGCTGGCACAGTAGCCTGTGCCTATAGTCTCAGGTACTTGGGAGGCTGAGGTCAGAGAATCACTTGAGCCCAGGAATTCAGAGCAGCCTGGGCAACATAGAAAGGCCATCTAAAAAGAAAAGAACAGAAATTGGTGTGTGTGTGTGTGAGTGTGTGTGTTTGTGTGTTTGTGTGTGTGTGTTAGAGGAAGAAAGAGTATGTGTATAGTTTGAAAACAATTGAAAATGAAGAGTTTAAGAGATATTTAGCCCAAGCTGGGCATGGCAGTGTTTGCATGGAATCCCAGCACTGGGAAGGCTGAGGCGGGAAGTTCACTGTGAGTTCAAGGCCAGCTTGGACTACATAGTGAGGCCCTGTCTCTCTCTCTCTCTCTCTCTCTCTCTCTCTCTCTCTCTCTCTCTCTCTCTCTCTCTCTGTGTGTGTGTGTGTGTGTGTGTGTCTCTCTCTTTCTCTTTCACACACACACACACACACACACACACACACACACACACAAATAGTACAATGTAGAAATCTTGAAGTGTTCTTACCAGGAGCCAGTTTTGAAAGATAAAGGGGTAACATACTTTAGAAACATTTTTTTCTTCCTTCAAAAGAGAGAGATTTTGTTACATAATTCCTCATTCCTTATGTAAAATATTTGGGGCAAAGAAAGGTACGGAGTTTTGCTAGTAAATATGACAGGATTATTTGTGAAAATGTGCAAAAATCAAGTTGATTAGTACTTTTACTTGTAGAGGAGCGCATTATGAGAGTTACAAGCAACTAAGGATTGGTGGTTTCATTCAAAGTAACAGTTGTACGAAGTAAAGGGCAGAGGGTATAAAAATACCTGTGTTTTTCAAAGCAAGGCATTTAATCCTGTTTTTCATTTTATATGTTCATTTTAAATACAAAGGAATAATGTTTCATAGTAATTTCAATCAATTTACTGTCATTTACACAAAGCGTAACAGTTAATTTTTAAATAATGTTTTATTTTGAAACATATAGTCTGACATATAGCCGATCATTTGATTGATTGACTGGTTGATCGTGTTTTTACAGGACCCATTAGTGGTAGAACTTTCAAGCCCTGGACCACTGACCTCAGCCTTGCTCCTGTTTCTTCACAGCATGGCGGAGTCTGAAAGAGGACCACTTTCTCCTAAAGTTCTTTTTAACCAGCTTTGTCAGAAGTGAGTGCATCCCTGTTCTTCATATAAATAACCACATACTAACATATGCCTCACTTAGCATGAGTCACCTCACTTTCTCTGTAATGCTCTTACTGCCATTGCTGCCCAGACTCCTGCGAGAAAGAACAGTATACTTCTGCAAATTATGCCTCTTCATTCCTTAAAGGAGCGATCGTTGCACAGTGCCTGCCTGGCAAGCACAAGGTCATGAGTTTGATTCCCGGTACCAAAAATCATTGACCCACATTATAGGAGGGAACGCAGACTGCCAAAGATTAAGTAGCCCGCCTAGTGTGAGAGTGACAAGGCTGAGAGTCACTTAGAAGTCTGTCTTGACTCAAGTCTGTGATACAATACTGCAAAGTAAGGAAAGCATAGAACTGTCAAATCTAGAAAGCACTGGAAGAGGTACTCTACTCTAGCTTCCTTACCCCACACCTTCTTCTTTTTTTTGGTGTGGGGATCAAACCCAAGGCCTTGGCATGGTAGTCAAGTGCTTTGCCACTAAAATAACATCCCCAGCCCATAGCTTTCTTATTTTTAAAGCTGAGCTTTGAGGCAAATAGAGTTTCAGTGATTTTCTCACCATATTAATGTATGCTTAAAAACAAAATCTCCATATATCTGGAAATAAACATACCAAAAAGGACCTGACTTACTACTATATTCATTTTTTTCTTACTTGAGAGAAATTTTTTTTTTTTTTAAGTCAGGGTCTCACTGTGTAATTCTGGCTAACCTTGAACTAACTATTGTAGCCCAGGAGGCCTGGAACTTGCAGCAGTCTTCCAGCCTCAGACTTCCAGTGCTGGGATTACAGGTGTATTCCACCCTGCCTGGCAAGAATTTACTTGGTGGAATCCAGGGGTGCACATGTATAGTGTGCTAAAAATGGACCTTGTTCTCATAGAATGTGTAAGCTACTTTAGTCCCCAATTACTGAAATACGAAGAAAGATTTCTTTAAAGGTGAACTTGCATTTTTGTATATTGACAGACTTTAAAATCTCATTTCAACTTAAATGTATTCCAAAACATTGCAGGTTTGTGTATATTTTACTTGATTGGTAAATGTTTCTTCAAAGCCTGAAGACTGAAAAGTCTGTTAAATACTCAGAAATGGGGCTGGGAATTATACTCAAGGCCCTGGGTTCAATTAAAGCAACAAACCATAGAAAGACTTAGAGATGTGGATGCCTCATTGAGTTAGAGCGTTGTACACTTCAGAAATCTTTTTGTTTTGTTTTGTTTCAGCAGTGCTAAGGGTAGAACCCAAGACCTCATGCTAGGCAAGCCTTCTACCACTGAGCTACAGCTCCAGTCTTTTTATTTTAGAGACAGGGTCTCACAGAGTTATCCAGGCTGGCCTTGAGCTTGCAATCCTCCTGCCTCAGCCTCCTGAGTAGCTGGGATTGCAAGTGTACACACCATCATGGCTAGTTAGACATTTATTTTTGTCTCTGCTAAAAAACTTTAGTTTTGTATTGTTCTCTCATATGTTTCTGGTGTTGTTTGTTTTTACAGCACTAGGGCTTGAACCTAGGGTCCTATGCATGCTAGCCAAGTGCTTTACCACTGAGCTACATCCCCAGCCCTTTTAATCTTGAAATAAGGACTCATTAAGTTGCCCAGGTTGGCTTTTAACTTGTGATCATCCTGCCTCACTCTCCCAAATAGCTAGGTCTCAGGTGTATCACCACACCTGACTTCTTTTTCCCGATATTATAAAGGTTTATAAAAATGGAACAGAAATTGCTAAAATAGTGGGTACTTATAGATGACAATTCAAATTTCTATCTATTCTTATTCCTTAGCCATAACTCTACAGTTTGAGTATCTCTTATCTGAAATCACTAGGTTAAGAAATATTTTCAATTTTGGATTTTTTCTGATTTGGAACTATTTTGTTATACATTGAGATGTCTTTGAGAGAAGATCCAAATTTAAACATGGCTTCATATAAATGTCTACACCAAGTTTCATATATACCTTGTAAAGAAAGTCTGAAAGTAATTTTTAAGTGCATTCCGTCTCTTAACTGCAACCCATCAGATGCGGTAAGGTGTGGATTTTTTTACTGTGGTGTCACAAAAAGTTTTGGAGTTTGGATTTTCACATTAGAGATGCTCAGCTTGTATCACCTGTTTCTTATTTTTTCAAAAGTAATTGCATGCATGGGCATATATATATATATATATATATATATATATATATATATATATATATACAAATCATTCACAAATTGGTTATTATCTCTCTGCCCAGCAAGCTTCAGTTTTCAGCTGTGAGGCTGGGCCTGGAGGTCCACTGTCCCTGGTTCACAGTTCCACGCTGAGCTGGGAGTGCTGGGAATCCGGGAAGGCGGGCTCAGCCAGGCTGGGGCTGGGGCTGGGGCTGTGTTCTCTGCAGCTTCGGGCAGTGCTTGCCTAAGGGCTTCCTTTCTGGCTGTGGAGAAGGCTGCCTGGCCTGTCATGGCACTTTGTCTACCCTTCAGGGCTAAGCTCTTTCAGGGGCCATGAGTCTATTGTTTTGTTTTGTGTATTTCTTTTTTCTTTGCCTATTACAGATTTATGTTCCTTTTTTACTTTCTGCTGAATCCCATTTATGCTTTTCTTTTATTTTGTGGATATGTGTGTGTAGTAGAGTCGTTTTTGGACTATGACTGATTCACCATTACCCAGAAGACATCACGGATTCTTGCTTTAAATTTTTTCTCTTTTTTGATGGACTCCCATTTTGTACTTATATGTACATTCTCCTGTTATGTCTTGAGGTTGCTATGTTTGTGTTTTTGTTTTGTGGTACTGGGGATTGAACCCAGGGGCTCGCGCATGCTAGGCAAGCACTCTGACATTGAGCCACATCTCTGTTGCTTAGGTTTTTATTCTTTTTAGTTTTTTTGTTTTTTTTCCTGTACCAAGAATCGAACTCATGACCTTGCACTTGCCAGGCAGGCGCTGTGCCACTGAGCTAAATCCCCAGCCCCTGTTGCTTCAATTTTTAAATTTGAGACAGTCTCCCTAAATTGCCCAGGCTTGCCCTGAACTTGGGGTCCTTCTGCATCAGCCTCCCCGAGTAGCGCGATTACAGGCATACACTGGAGCATCTAGCCATATTGAGGTTTTTAAACCTCTTTCTCACAGTAATGCTTTCACTAATTTACAGTTCTTAGGAATGTTTAGTGTTTCCTTTGTTCTGAATAGGCTGAATGTTTTCATAATTTGGTTGATTTTCTTTCCTTATAGCCTTTAAATTGGAAGCTTTTTTGATACTGGTAGCTCAGATAAGCGCTATTAGAGGTCTGTAGGTCATTGTGTGGTATTTTTTTCAGGCAGTTTTCTATTACATTTTCTTCACTGGCTCATTTAGAAGGCAGTAAGTAGTTCATGTCGGGCTGAGATGGAACTGGAAGAGATGGCGTAGAAGCTGTTCTGTCTTTGTGCATGGGCAATCTCTCTCCTGTATCCTTGCATTCCTTTTTTTTTTTTTTTTTTTTTTCTTGTCTTACAAGGTCTCTCTATGAGGTGCAGACTGGCCTTGAATTCACTGTGTATTCCAGGCTGGCCTCGAGAACTTCATGCAATCCTCCTGTGTCAGCCTCTCAAGTGCTGGGATTACAGGCGTGTGCCACCACACCGGGCTCTGTGTCTTTGGTTTGAAAGGCTTAAACTGCCTTGTTCTCCTTGCCACCTAGCTAGTGCAGATCCCAGCAAAATTCCCACTTCTCCTTCCAGTCATCTTCCCCTTCCCTGACCTTTCCTGGTGTCTGCAGCACCAGTGTGTTGTGTAGTTTCTGCTTCTCATGACGCTAGCTGCCGTGGCCCACGTAGGGTTGGAGTTTGTGTCCAGCTTGGTTTCTGTCCTTCCTTGTCTCTGATCTAGGAGTTTAGTGCTCTCTACCATGTGCAGAAAGGGGGGTCCACCAGGGAAGTAAACGACAGTATTCCCAACATTGTGGTGTTATTTACTGCTACTTGACGAAAGAGAACTGAAAGGTGTTTCCTCTGGCAAGCTAGATTCGCTCCCAGTTCACTTAGCTCTGTGGGCTCACGTCGGAGTCAGGGGTTCATAGCAGAGGTTACGAGGGTGCTCAGTGAGGAAGGTTCTTCAAGTACTGGACTCAAGCAGAAGACCTGGTGGATGGCAGCAGCGCTTAGCTGGTTCTGCAGTTCTCTCCAGCGTAACATGCAGTTCATAGCTATAATAAAATCTTTAACAGTATTGTTGTGTATGTCAAATGATATGTTTTAATGTATATATCATAATGAAATAATTGTAAGTTTGTCATGTACCGCCATAAGGTACTTAACTAATTACAGAAGAACACTAATTATCAAATCTTAAAATACATTCTCAGAGATATCAATTATAGTCCCAGGTTTTAATATAAATACTTGCTGTTCTGTTTATTCTTTAATGTAGAAAGATAAATAACAGTGGCTTGGGTTTAAAAGCTTTTTTTTCTAGCTATATGATCTTACAAATTGTTTAAATGCTTCTTCGAAGCCTTCATCTAAATAAGGTGGGGACAGGTGAGTTACATGTGTGAACCTGTTAGTGTTGGACTCAACTTACAGTATTTGTTTAGTAAATTATAGCCGTTTGTTCTCAGTGTGCATTTATGTGCTCATCTTGATTGGAACAAGAACCACATTTTGTCCTTTTCCTTAGTTGAAAAAGTAGTAAATTGAATCACTGACTGTTATTTCAGAGTGATTTTAGGTAAGAATAACATCGTTGATGACCTGTGGAGTGATTATTGCTTTCTTTCCTGGTTTGTTTTGAACCATAGGGCACCTCGATTTAAAGGTTTCCAACAACAGGACAGCCAGGAGCTGCTTCATTATCTGTTGGATGCAGTGAGGACAGAGGAAACAAAGGTCGGATTCCTTACTGTTTGATTGCATATTCTCTTTCAGAAGAGGACAGCAGAGATAATTTCTACTGTAATTTTACAGTATAGTAAGAAGTCCTTTTTTATTTTTTAGTATCCTGTATGTTTTATTCCTTTCTTCTGTAATACTTTTTTCTTTTATCCTTTTATAGCCTCATTATTCTTTATTAGTTAATATTGTTGGGCTGTAAATGAAATAAGTCAATTCCAACTAGCTTAAATAAAGAAAAGAGAAACTTAGCTGGGCAGAGTGGTGTGCACTTGTAGCTTCCAGTATTTGGGAAGCTGAGGCAGGAGGATCGCTTGAGCTCAGAAACTCTCAGCCAGCCTGGGCAACATAGAGACCCTTGTCTCAAAAACAAACAAACAAGAGAGTCTTACAGATCCAGGCCAACAAAGATATATCTCAGGGATATAAAGGCAAAACAGTAATCAAGAATCTAGGAAGTATTCACCTCATTTTCCTGGTATCTTTGTCTCTGTAGGCTTTCTTCATTTATCGCTCTGCAGACTCCATAGTTTCTTCTCTGTCTGAATGATAGCATGTGGCAACTATAATTTGCATGCTGCAGGTCCGCATATATAGAAAATGAGCTGCCAGTTTACCTAGTAGAATGAAATGCCATTATTTCATGCAGGATTATGTTCTGCTCGGGAATCTGAGTGGCGACCAGGAGCATAGTCAAAGCCTTGTAAATCAGGGAACTCTTCTCAGAAAAGAAGGAATAGCTGATGAGCAGATTGCCCAGTGTTTATTACAGTCCTATCCACTACTGGATTGGATGGGTTGTTTACTGACTTCAGTGTTAAGTTAGTAAAATTCAACTTTGGGGGGGGGGTTCTATGCAAATATGAAATAATTTTTACATATAATACTGCTCACACTCCAGAACCATGAACTAAATAAACTTCTAGTCTTTATAAATTACCTGGTCTCAAATGTTTCATTATAGCAACAGAAAATAGACTAAGGCATCCATTTTCCCACTTTTTTGCTCATAGGAGACACTGTGGTCATTTGTAACAGTCCTGCTGAGTCTACACTGAGCCTTGGAAATACTCTCTTATCATACCACTGTGTGCCACACCTGCCAGTCAAAAGCATAATAGGCATAATAGGTGAAAAATGTATTTTCCATTGGAGATAAATACACTTCTTAATCTATATATATGATACTATGTAATACAGCAGCCTTTTCTGTCTTGTACTGCCAGGGATTAAACTCAAGATCTTGTGCATGGTAGGCAAGTGCTCTACCGCTGAACTATACCCCACTTACTCCTTCTTTTATTTTTTTGTTTTTTTTATTTTTTTGTTTTTTGGACTTTTTGGGACAGGGTCTCACCATGTAGTTCAGGCTGGCCTTGAACTCACTGTGTAGTCCAAACTGGCCTCAAACTCACAGCAGTCCTCCTGCTTCGGCCTCCTGAGTGCTAGGATTACAGACCATGGTGAGCCGCCATGCCCAGCAGTGCTGTACACTCATTGGCCAGTTTTTACCTAAGAGAGAATGGGGTTGTAATACAACTTTTCAAATTACCTTAAGTTAAGAATGGGTTAATAATCTTTCCTTTCTGCTACAAAACAGTATATATTACAATCCTTGTCTTTAATTGGTTCCTTTTTGACTTTCACTTAAATTAGTTGAATTCAGTTTTTGGAAGTGTCTCTCAGTATCTACCACTTCTTTATTCTTATACATTTAAAAAATTATGAACCATACCACCTTTTATTTAAAGTGATGTCATCGTCCGTCACCTTCTTGGATCGTGATCTTCTCACACAGTGGTGCTGTGAACTGTCTCTGTCCCAGTGCGCTGGCGTGGTGTTTGGTAGATGTCTGTTGGACGTGTTGTCTGTGCTTAACCTTAATTGCAGCTTTTTTTGAGAATTTGAAATGGGAAGAAAGCAAAATTAATGGTCTCTCAAATGATTTATATGAACTGACTTCTTGGGGGATTAACAGTTATTTTCGTATGTTATAATTTGAATAAATGGTAAACAGTGATAGGAGAACAAGTGCATTTTGCTTTACCTGTTTTTTGTTTAAAGCAGTCAATTAAGAGATTTATAATTAAGCTTTGGGGATATTAGCATAGTCCCCTTAACCTAATATTTGATCACATTTTCTTAGACCTAGGAAATTATAGTTAGAATAGAGATTCAAACTCAAGTCTTTCTGACTCCCAAAGAAATGGTTTTCTAATATCATACAGTACTGCTTATTAAAGTTTAGTTTTATTGCTTGGACATTGTGATGAGTATAAATAATATTTTTAAACCGATTATGTAAAATGTAACCATAATTATTGCACTATTAGAAATGTTTTCGCTATTGAATTAAATTTAACCTGATAACTACAGTGTATTAATAGTCTTATTGATGGATAGGTGCATGGTGACCTGATGGGGAGAGACTGTTCTTTGTATTATGAATGAGAAATGCAGTCTGATGTTCTTGGGCCTACAGATGATATAACAGCTACTTTCAGATTAACTCAAGTCTATTAGTTGCTAGAATGATCCTGCCTCCAGGATTTGTAGAACTATGATTATTACATGGCAGTCATGTATCACTGTAAATGGATTAAAAATCACCTCTTTGCATTTTTTTATTGTAAGCAAAATGACAAAATCCTTCATTTTTTTCCGTTTCACTTCTATAGCTTGATGGCAACCTGTGTTACAGTTAAATTATTGTTTGATTAGAATGGTGCATTGGGCTGCAGAGTATCATAAAAACACACGCAGTGTGCATTGGTTTTTGAAAACATCTTCTGCTATGGTAGGCCTGTAGATAATGTGACAAAATTACAGTGTCGAGTGTGTGGATCTGTTCAGTCTCATGGCAAGAACAGTTGTGCGGTCAGTTACAGCGAGCCCCCCGGCGGGAGCTCATTGTCTGGCCTGGGAATGCTACAGCTGTCGATCGGGTGTGGTCGGAGGGTGTCACGGCCACGTGCTTTTTGGTTGAAGAAAGACTATAGTGTTGTCTGCCACCGGAATCTTTCAGTAACGACTGAAAACTGCTGACCTCCTTTCATACTGTGTCATCAGAGTCTTCTGTTTTGATCATAGAGCTGAGGAATATACTCTCGCTGAATTGAATACTACTCTTAATAGATCATTTGTGCAGACATTATACATTTTCATATACCGAAATATATAATCACACTGGAACCAGTTCTTTTTAAAAGCAGTTCTTTTATAGTCTTTTCAGCTTTCAGATTTGTGCTTTGCTTTTTTCTTTCCCATTTGAGCTGTCACTAAATTCATGCAGCATTTTTATTATCTTGCATATATATCACCTTAATACATTGTTGGATAGACTTATTTTAAAGGCAGAATATTTTAGCTAACTTAAACTGTATGATGTTTGACTCTTATTTTTGAAAGAAGTTCAAGATGTAGATATGCACAGTTGAACTTTTATACTGCTAAGTGATTAATGTGCTGCAGTTGTAAGCACCTCCCTGACCAGTCTCTCTTTTTTCTTTTAACCTAAATAGTCCAAAGCCTGGGTCCTAACAATGAGGACCTCAGCCCATTTATTGTATTCAACTTGATAAATAACCTGTTTTAATGACCTCTTAACAGTTTAGAGTGGAAAGTATAAATTTGTAGTTAGGATTCAGAAGCTTAACCTTTAAGAGTTAATCATTTAAACAGTTACATTGCTCTTCCTCTTTTTTAGAGTGCCAGCTTTTAACTTGTGTGCATTTTTGCATTTCAAAATATGGCAGAGTCTTTAATTATTGAAATTCATGTCTGAATTAGTAAAATGTTTAAGTTGTAAGACAGTTTTAATTTACATTAGAGATCTTTGTCTTTAGCTGCTTAAAAGGCTATAGTTATATTAAATATAGGCGAATACTAGTCTATTGGAATTTTCCATTTCAGTCCATTGAATAATTCTACATGGAATTATATCATTCTAATTTCATTTTAGTTCAATAAAATATTTTTTCAAATGATAAAAAGTAACTTCAGCTTACATAATGTCTGCAGTATATTAATTCAGATTTATTAAATTTGAGTTAGATGTTGTCTCAGCATTTGAAGATCTTCTGGGAGACATTTTATTGTTTCGATTTCCTTAGCATATATTTCATGACAGTGTAATGTATGAGTTATTTCATGTTTACTTTTATACCCTACTTCGTAAATATTTAAGTGTTTTAAATCTTGCATTTACTACCACATAGATTTAGTAAAAATAGTGAGCAGTTATAGGAATGGAACTGTTATCCAGTCAATAAATGCCACTTGTTAGCCAGGCATGGTAGCACACACCTGTAATCCCAGCACTCAGAGGCTGAGGCAGGAGGATCGTTGTGAGTTCGAGACCAGCCTGGGCTACAAAGTGAACTCAAGGCCAGCATGAACTGCACAGCGAGAACTTGTCTCAAAAAGACAAAAAAATAAAAATAAAAATTGCAGCTTGTTCTTACAATTGTTGGAGGTAGGGTATTAAAAACTTATGATATATGTTATATAACATATGTCATACACAGAATATATATGTGAATGTGCAGTTTAACACATAGTAAGAAACAATTTTCCATTACTACTCCTCTCCACCCTCACCCCCAAACCCAAGTTAAAAACTAGACTGAACCTACCATTGTGCTGGCTATGTGGCTCATTGATAGAATACTTGCCTTTCATGTACAAGGCCTTGGGTCCCATCCCTAGACACACACACACACACACACACACACACGCACTTATTAGTATCACAGAAGCTTCCTGTTCCTCTTTAAGTACTTGTCCCTACGCCAGGCATGGTGATCCCCACCTGTAATCTCAGCTTCAGAGGAGGCAGGAAGATCACAAGTTGGAGCCCAGCTTGGGATACTTATCAAGACCCTGTCTCAAAAATTAAAAGGGGTAAGGATGTAGCTCAGTGGTAATGTGTTTGTCTAGTATGTGTGAGGCTGTGGGTTCAAATACCCAATACACCAAAAACCAAATGAACAACAACAAAATAAGCCAAAACAATAACAAGACAAAATTCCTCATTAGAAGTAGCCACTATTTGGACTTTACAAAAATCATTCCATTGTTTTTCTCATAGTGTTGAGAGCTACTTGTGTATGTATTAACAGTGTAAATTATCTAGTTTTGCAAACTGGGTAGCATGCACAGACATACTGCTATTATTGGCTGAGGGATCCTAAAAGAAGAGAAGCTGAAAGAGTCTCTGGAACGTAGTGTAGCTTTCTTCTATAAAGAAGGATAAATTTGGGTCATTCATAGGAAAATGGATGCACCTTGAGACCATAATATTAAGAGAAATAAATCAGATACATGAGCTTAAATATTGCAAGGCTTCTCTTACATGAGAAACCCAAAATTATTAAATAAGTTAAAGAGCAAAATGAAAGATAGACAATAAGAAGCGGAGGTAGATCCTTTGCAGATGGGAAGGGGGCCATGAGACAGAGGGGAGGGAGGGAAGGAGACACACAAAGAACGAGGATGTGTTGTGTACGTGCACCACCTCCCCACAGTGAGTACGATCATTGTGTAATGCAGATGTGTGCTAAGACAAATTAAAAACAAAACAGATGTGTTCTTTTTTTTGTTTTTTGTTTTTTCTCCGGTACCAGGAACCGAATTCACGACCTTGCGCTTGCCAGGCAGGCGCTTTTGCCGCTGAGCTAAATCCCCAGCCCTAAAATTTCTTTAATTTTGTCAGTGACTTCCCTTATTTCTTTAGTGTGATGTTATGTATTGCCTAGGAGGTTTGCTTATCGCCTCCCCAAGGAATCAATTTTTGATTCATTTATTAACTGTCTTTAATTTTCATTTCCATTAAACTGTTTCTTCTAATTTTAGTTTTGATGCCCCTTTTCTAAATCTTTAAGGTGGCTGCCTAATGCATTTGTTTTTATTCTTTTCACTCAATTTAAATATTTAAGGCTGTGAAATATCTTGGATTCTGATATAGTGTGCTTTTATTCTCGGGGAAATGTGCAACTTGAGTTTAGTTTCTCTTTGACATAATTTTTTTTGGTGACAAAATTATGTGTCATTTTCGCACTCTAAAGTCCAGTTCAGGTAGCAGTTTTATATATTAACTTAGGATCAAGAAAAATATCATTTCAGAAATAAAAAAGAGAAAAAATCTTTTGAAAGAAAACTAACACATCTTCTCTTTTATCCCACAATCACAGTGTAAATTAGACAACATTGATCCATTAATCGGGAACACAAGTAATATAAAAGATAATAACATCAATTTAACTCTTTATTCTTGGAATTTGTAGTTTTATTTTGTCCTGAAAGTTTTCTGTGAGATTAAATCTTTCTTAAAGCATGCACAAAAATATGGAAATATAAACTTTGTCATTTACTAAGAGTTACTGAAGACATGATCATTATTGAAAATTAAGCTAAAATAAAACTGTAGCCAGGTGTGGTGGCACATGCCTGTAATCCCAGCACTCCGGAGGCTGAGGCAGGAGGATCGTTGCGACTTCGAGACCAGCCTGGGCTACAAAGTGAGCTCAAGACAAGCCTGAACTGCATCGCGAGACCCTGTCTCTTTCATTGTTTTTTTTTTTTTTTTTTGAGACAAGGTCTCACTATGCAGTTCAAACTCGCCTTGAGCTCATTTTGTAGCCTAGCCTGGTCTCGAACTTACAACGATCCTCCTGCCTCAGCCTCCCATGTACCACCACGCCTGGCTTTTTTTGGGGGGGGGGTTGAGACCCTGTCTCAAAAAGACTAAAATAAAATAAAGTAAAACTGTAATTAACATCTGGGAGATTCTTTTTGGTATGATATTAATTTTCTGGACTTTAGTCATGTGTGTGTGTATTATACATGGACAGCATAGTGACCAGATTGATATCATGTTTTTTCTTTCAATTTTTATTTTTTATTAATACATAGCTTCTTATATATTAATGACTTCTCTTGATTTTTAAGTTTTCAGTATATATAATTACATTCATTGTGGGGAGTGGATACATGTACATAATAATCTTGATTTTTTTTTTACATGCCCTTTTATTTTTATTTTATTTTATTTTATTTTATTTTGGTCTTTTTGAGACAGGGTCTCGCTATGCAGTTCAGGCTGGCCTTGGGCTCACTTTGTAGCCCAGGCTGGTCTTGAACTCTCAGTGATCCTCCTGCTTCAGCTTCCCAAGTACTGGGATTATAGGAGTACGCCACCATGCCCAGCTACATGCCCTTTTAAAGGTTTCTTTTTTAACAAAAAATTTTAAATTGTTTTTTTTTTTTTTTTCCCCCCCCCCCCCCCCCCCCCCCCGGTATGGGGAATCAAACTGAGGACCTCGCACTTGCCAGGCAGGCGCTTGTGCCACTGAGCTATATCCCTGGCTCTCTTTTGTTTTGTTTTTGTCCTGATTAAGTAATGTCATTTTAGAGATAGAGGGAAAGGGAATAAACTTACCCTAAGTCTATAAGAAAAATCAATCTGGGTTGCTTGCTTTTTGTAGACTAATAAAAACATTTTAAACCCAAGAAAACCTAAACAGGAAGGAACCTAGGCATTGACTCATGAGAATTTGGCATTAGAAAGTTATTCATTCATGGAGTTTTAGAACTGTGAATAAAAGGACATATTTTATGTTTTTAAAAAAAGTTACTCATTTTATTTTCAGGTTAGGGAACTGGGATCCACAGTGTACCTTGCTACTTGAAAGTCTTTTTACTAAGAGGGTGAGGTCTGAGTTAACTAGTACTAGATCTGATTCTATTAATTTTGTTTTACAGAGAATACAGGCTAGCATTCTAAAAGCATTTAACAATCCAACTACTAAAACTGCTGATGATGAAACTAGAAAAAAAGTCAAAGGTATGTTGACTCTTTTAACTGTTAAAATATTTTTGTAGAAGAAAACATTAAAAGTTTCTTTCCAGCAGAAAAAAGACTAAGCATTATATAAACTAATTCTCTAAAGTAGTGGCCTTAAGAGGAGTATATACTTACACCAGTGACTGTAGGATGCTCTAGTGGGACATAGAAAATGTTAGAATGCATGCATGTGAATTTTTAAATATCACATAGATTGATACTCCTATGTAAGAATTTCTAAGGATGACTTGAAAGATTGTTGAAAGTGTCTGTTTCCCTTCAAAGTTCACATTTATTATGTGGTATCATTTTGGTGCTTAGATAAATAGACTTATGGGTCTTATCTAGTTTTGTCTAGCTACAGTGCTTAAGTGCTCCAAAGGCAAAGAAGCCAATTACTGAAGAGAGTACTGAGAAGTCAAGGACTTATTGGCCGCTCTTAGTACTTGCTCTTCATCAATTAAATATGGGGCAAAAGTAATGATTATTGCTCAGTTGCACAGTGCCTTACTGCAAGCACAAGGTTGTGAGTTTGATTCCCTGTACCACACACACACAAAAAGATCATTTAAATAAAGTTGGTGAGGGCCGGGGATATAGCTCACCAGCACAAGCGCCTACCTGGCAAGCGTAAGGTCCTGAGTTAGATTTCCAGTACCCCCCGCCAAAAAAAGTAAAAATAAAAGTAAAGTTGGTCACTTATATTAGTGAATATGAGTTTAGGAATGTGAGTTTCCACCTTACACTGACAATTTACCTAGTCCTAAGTGTACATTCTACCGTGAGATATTACCTAACGTTAGTATTAAGTCCTTTTTTAAATTAATTTTTTGCTATACTAGGCATTGAACTCAGGGCCTTTGCACTGAGCACGTTACCACTCCTCTTTATTTTTTATTTTGAGACAGAGCCTCACTAAGTCACTAAGTTGCCCAGGGTGGGCTCAAACTTGCAACCCTTATACCTCAGCCTCCCAAAGTGATCGTGTACCACTAGGTCCAGCTTTGTCATTTTTAGGAGACATTTTAAAGTGTATGTTACCTACTTCTTTTCTAACTTCTATTTTTTATATTTGTATAATTTTCATACTACATGTCTAGAATTTATAAACAAACATACATACATTGTTACTGCATGCTCCAAAACTCTGACTGTACAGTTAAATGCTGAAGATTTTGTTTCTCGGGTTTATTCCATATTCGTTTGTGTGGGGATAGTGCCATCTAGTGCATGGTGGAATAATAGCCCAGATTTTCTTGCCTTTTCTGTAATATTTTCCATTGTAATCCCTTGTACAGTTTTTCTTAATGAAACATTTTAATTTATCATAGCATTTCTAAATAGTTATGTAGTTAATAAATGTTTGTTAACATTAATATGTGCAAATATAAATCTGGCCTGTCATTCAGTGCCTCAGATAACCCTTTAAATGATTTCAAATGCTATTTATATGAAACTTGAAGGTAGAGGCTCCAAAAGAATAGAAGTTGGAAAGAGGGTGAATATTTATTAATATGCTTTCTCCCTCATGGCTTATTAGGGAAACTTTCAAATTTCTGTTAAGGTAGAGATAATAGTAAAATGTAGCCTCTTGTATTTATTGCCTAGCTTAAACCCATTTATAGCTTACTATGTTTAATCATTTTCTCCCTACCCCATATTATTTTAAGTCATATCAAAGGCAGTCTCTTTTCATTAATAAATGCTTCCCAAGAAAAATAACTTTAACTTGTAGAAGTAATGTTCAGCATGTTTGTACGTATGGTTAGATGAATTAATTGCCCCTATTAATTCCTTATACTACACCGTTCACTTGTCTTTTCAAAGCAGTGGTCCTGGCAACTGCAGCCCTGAAAGCATAGTCTTTCCCCTCATCCTTTTGTTTACTTCGGTGTGAGATGCAGAGTCGGAAGGGTTTCAGGGGAGAAGCTGAGGTGTGGTGTGAACAGCGGTTAATGTTCTAGTCCACCTCTGAAGTTTAAGCGCAGGTCATTATTTCCTGGAGACTGGTACTTGACAGTCATATCTCCTCTACAAAATCGTAAAGGAGAAAAAGACAGTATAAACTTATATTCAGTGTGATTCAGGAAATTTTCCCAACTCAGATTACTTTTGAATAGAGAATAGCATTTAACACTTTGGGTGGCTGGTTTTTTTGGTTAAAAACGTATGATTTTTACAGCGTATGGAAAAGAAGGTGTGAAAATGAACTTCATAGATCGGATCTTTATTGGTGAATTAACCAGCACAGTCATGTGTGAAGAATGTGCAAATGTAGGTATTGTGAAATTCACTTTGTGGAATAGATTAAAAGTACATCATTTTATTATTTTTTCTCTTACATATAATGATGCACAGTTGTTTAGAAAGTTTATGAAGTTTCTAAAAGCCTTTTAAAAATATACCCTACACTCCTAGAAAGACATAATTTTTAATTACTTTTTTCAAGTAAATGTTTATGTGTGTGATACCCCTCTTGACACACCTATGTTGTGCTTTTAACCTATCATAATATACTAGAATATATAAACTACCTGTTTAGACTGAAATGAGAAACTTCTGTGAAGAAGTAACTGTGTTACATGGCAATGTCCTAAAATGTAATTCCAGTTGAAATAATGTAGTGACATAACATGGTGATTCTATGATGTCTGATTGAAATTTTATATTTATATGACTTAAGTTTTGTGTGTGTGTATATTTTTGGATTTGGATTTTTTGGATTTTGGATTTTGTGTGTGTGTATTTTTGGATTTGGAAATAATTTTCATTTTAAATGACATCTTTAACGATAACTTAAAGCACGTATAAATGTTTATAGATTTTCATTTCCTTAGTATGGAATATTTCTTTGATAAGTTTAAACTTTTATCAGACTTTGATGGTAAAAGGAAGTTTTTATGTCCATTTTTCTTGTCCCAGATTATGGAGAACTTTTCTCCCCCCTCTAAGATTATAAACTGTCTATTCTTCTAGACTATCACGTGTAGAATGGGTCTGCATGGTGGATCACTTACATTTCTAGAATATTCAATATAGAACTTGATTTTTTTCTCACAAAAATAGAAAATATTTTTAAAAACAGAATTATTGTAAGGAACCTGTGAAATACTGTCAGTATCTCACTTATTAATGGCTTTTTCTTAACATTTTATACCTTGTTTTAACTTAAAATTTTAAGTTGCCAGAACTTTTGATTTCTTTGATACTTTATAAAACTACATGTTTATATTAGAATTTTTTTTTTTTTTTGGCACCAGGATATATTAGAATTCTAATTGAAGTTCTTGATCTGTTTTCTTTTGAAGATCTCCACAGTGAAAGATCCTTTCATTGATATATCACTTCCTATAATAGAAGAAAGGGTAAGGGAAAAAACTAATCATGAGACTTTTGTAAAAATATTCATTCATTTATTTAGACATTTGTTGAGTATATTATCAAGTGTCTGAGCGTCCATCTTTTTATACATTATTGAGTTGATATTGGGGTTTGTGCAAATGTACATAAAACATGATATAGTTCTTATTCTAGAATTTAAATTTCTATGCTTTGTATTTTGAGAGTTAATGTTAAAATATTACCTTTTTGCATTTCAAGTGAGTTAGGAATTTTACAAAGAAGATGATATCCAGAATTCATTTGCTAACAGAGTTTGCTATGTATGTGGCATCCAAATAGGTTTCAAAACCTGTACTTTTGGGAAAAGTGAATAAATGTAGAAGTTCACAGGAGGCAGATCATGATCAGTGCAGTGGTGCTGTTGCTGCAGAAAGTGCTCCTCAGCCCAGAGCTGCCAAGAAGCACCCTTCCTCCAAAGACAAGGTAAGTCTAGGAGCACTTACCTGTTAGTCATCTGGTTTTCACACTTTTTACTAGGAAAAATTTCAAGTGTATACAAAAGTAGAGAAGACCATATAATCACACCCTGTGCACCCATTTGTCAGCTTCACAGTTACCAACTTATGGCTGATCAGACTTCCCTGCATCTACCCATATTCTTCCCTTCACCCATCCCAGACTATTTAGAAATAAATGCCAAATATATACTTCAAGATATATTTCTAAAAGATATTCTGTAGTGCTTGCCTAGCACCTCTAAGACCCTGAGTTTGATACCTACCACTGCAAAAAGGAGAAAAAATGTACGAGATGTTTCTTATAAAAATATAAGCACAGTATTATCATCATAAATTTAAAATATCAATAACTTCATAGTAACATCTAGTATTCAATCATCACTTAAATTTCTGTAATTGTTTTATACTCAGTTTTTGCTTTTTAAAGTTTTGAGTTTAGTATCTTAACAAGATCTTTAGATTACAGTTGATTGTCATTTTTCTTTAGTCTCTTTAATCTACATTTTCCCTCCTACTTTTTTTTGGCAGTTTATTTGCTGATTTTTTAAAACATTTTCCCATACTCAGTAATATTTCATTTTCTGTTGGCTTCTCATGGTATTAACAGGTTTTTCTATGTCCTTCATTTCTTCTCTAAGGCAGTTAGGTGTAGAGGAAACAATAGTTCAGGTTTGATTATTTCATTTTTTGGTTTGCTTTTTATTTTTTGAGAGAGGGTCTCTATGCAGTTCAGGCTGGCCTTGAATTCGCTCAGGCTAGCCTTGGACTTGTGGCAATCCTCCTGTCTCAGCCTCCTGAGTGCTGGGATTACAGGTGTGTACCACCATGCCTGGCTGTTTGACTAGAAAACTTTTAAGTGGTTGAATATTTTACTATCAAGGAGGTATACAAAAAGTTTGGGGTATCTCTTTCCATGTTATTATTAGTCATTTATGACCATTATCTAAACTCATTATTTTATTGAAGACATACCTGGTTATTGAATTTTTCTCCAAAATGGAAATAAATCAGCCAGCTGTGGTGGTACACCCCTGTAATCCCAGAATGTGAGAGGCTGAGGAAGGTCATGAGTTGGAGGCCAGCCTAGGCTGTATGGTAACTTCAAGGACAGCTGTGTGTACAACATAGCAAGACTGTCTCAAAACATGCACCAAAAAGGAAAGAAATCAATCTAAGTTTATGTTTCATTAAAGAAAAAACTTAACCAGGTGTGGTAATGCATGTCCATAATCCCAGATATACCATAAGCTGAGGCGGAAGGATCCTAAGTTCAAAGGCAGCAAGGGCAAATTAGTGAGACTGTGTCTCAAAATAGCAAACAAAAAAAACAGGACTGGTGATGTAGTTGTGCTATGTGCAAGTCCCTGGGTTCAAATAAAATGATAAAATGATTTGTACTAACTTGCCAAATACCAAGTTCACCTTCCTCTGTTAGAAGGCTTGCCAGTGGCATCATGTTTTCATTAAATAAAAGCTATATTATTTTTGCTTCATAAGAGATGTAGTGTAGTTAAATATTTTTGAACATATGATTTATTCTAATAATGTAAAACCAAAGTAGTTTTACTGGAATCGCCTGTGGAATTTGAAAAGATTGAAGTATTTCAGTACTGTTGATATATTCCTACAAAGCACCAGTTATTGACATACGAATGTAAAGTGATTTTTTCCTTATTTTTGTTTAGTTTAAGTTAATAGATGATTCTGTGGTGTTGGTCAAAATAGTTATTAGTAGCTCTGTTCTCCAAATGTTGCAAGAAATACTGTCCTGGTCAGGAGCTAAAAATATGCTTCCATGATATGGACCCTTGTCTGTAGTTCAAAGATGGATAGATACAACATGGGTATAATTTGGGCTTCTGCTGAAGAAATTGGACCTATTCTTTATTGAAAAACATTTTTCATGTAATAGTAAAGTTCAAAGTTACTTTTTTTTAGCTCATAGCAGAGCAGAAAAATTTGCATATATTTTTTAAATTACAAAAGCACAGTTCCATTAACAATTCTAAGAGGCATATTCAAGAGGCAAAATGTTAAATGGCATAAATGTATTACAGTCATTAGAAATTTTATGTTTAAGTCAGGTGTGGGTGTTTCCTGCCTATAATCCCAGCACTCAGGAAGCTGAGGCAGGAGGATCACAAATTGGAGGCTACCCAGAGAGAGTAGTCATGACTTCAAAGCTGGTTTTGACTACATAGAGAGACCCTGTCTCACAAAACAAAACAAAACAAAACAAAACAAAACAAAACAAGAAAAGAAACAGAGAGGGAGAGAAAGAAAATTTTCTATGTTTAGAAGTTATTTTCCAGTAATTCAGTCATAAAATCAGAATGATTAACTACCAATTTGAGTACTAATTTTATAAAAATCACTAGTTATTAAGCTTGATAGTACAGCAAATAATAAGGGTAGAAAGTTAACACTGACACACTTTCTTACTAGTAGTCCATGCTTTAATTTGTTACTTGCAGCATATCTGTGACAAAAACAGAAGCTCTTTGCATCTTTTAAAATTAATAATAGAGGTACAAGTATTGGTGGTGAATTGTTGAGTTTTTCAGCAGTTCACTTTGCTAAGTTATACGGCAGTTATCTTAAAACCTTAAAAAGTTCAAAATGAGGAATAACAAAAAAAAATACAGTGAAAATTAGCTGAGAAAACTTTGCCTTCCTTTTGGAAGTTACCAGTGTTTCTCTTGAAAAAATGAAATTTCTTTTGCTTTCTGACAACACAGGCAAATAATAAAACTAGTTAAAACACAGTAAGACTAATAGGTACAATTTCTAATCTAATTACAGAAAATATTAATAAAAACAAAAGGCAGATAGAGTAAATATCCATAGCCATACAAGATGCTTCTTAAATAGTTCAAAGTCTAAGATCAAGTAAGTCCTCACAAATGGCCACCAAAAGGTAAACTATATGAACACTTCATTCTGTGGGCTGTTTCTCTTCCTTTCTTTCCCCTCTTCACACATTAAAAAAAAATGCTTATTATATAAATGTAGAAACTGGAAGATTTCAAGATGATACCTCTAAAATCTTTCCTCAGCTTATTAAGTCAGAAAGAAATCCAGAGGTCTAATTTGCTGGGCCATATAAATGTATTCTCTCTCTCTCTCTCTCTCTCTCGCTCTCTCTCGCTCTCGCTCTCGCTCTCGGTGTCTCTCTCTCTCTCTCTTTCTCTGTTTCTCTCTTGCAATAAGGTTTCACTATGTAGTTTAGGCTGGCCTTGAACTCACTATGTAGCCTAGGTTTGCCTCTTACTGACCTCAATCCTCTTGCCTCAGCCTCCTGAGAGCTGGGATTACAGGTATGCATCTCTATACCTGGCCCAAATTGTTAGTTTTCTAAAATAAGTTATCACAAATTACAGAAACCTGTGTTGTACACAGGTATCCATTACTGAGGTTATATTCAGAAAATCATGGTTCTCTTACCTGTGTGGAAGAAGTTAAGTTTTAATTTTCCCAGTCTTTACCAAAAGACTCTTGGTATAGTTATAGTATTTATCAGCATACTTAAAGATAGATTTGAGGGGCTGGGGATATAACTCAGTGGCAGAATGTGTGCTTTGCAGCTCTGGACTTTACACCCTGCACCATAAAAAAATTAAAAGCTATGACTTTAAAAAGATGAAAGGAGTTGAGTACAGTGGCACATACTTATAGTCCGAGCTACTCAGGAGGCTGAGGCAAGAAGATCATGTAAGAGGATCACTTGATCTGAAGAATTTGAGCCTAGGCAACTTAGTTGAGATCCTGTCTCCTAACAAAATTTACATTCAAAGGAATTTTACGGGTCATTATTTTTCCATTGCTTACAGTATTATGTGGAAATGTTTGAAAAATGGCATTTTGTCCTATGTAAATATTTTAAGGGATTAAATTAAACAGAATTTAGCAGTTTGTAGTTTCCAACTCTAAATAACATAGTTGCGAGGATATTTCCATTTATCACATAGTGTTGGCTCAGAATTTACCACTGGGAAATTTGAGAACACCCAAGAAAGAGGAAAGACGTATTTTTCTTTGAATATCTTCATCAGTCTTACCTTTTCAAGGTTTAAAGTAGACATTGCCTCCATTACTTAACGGCGTATGTAACAAAAACAGAAGCTCTCTGCCTCCTTTAGAATCAGTAAAGAGGTATAGGTACTGATTTGATAGAAAACCGTTGAGCTTTTACCTCCTCTTTTTGTGAATTTATACTACAGTTTTGTCATTAAAACCTCACGAAGTTCAGTATGAAGAGTGGTAAAGAAGCACTGGGTTAAAAAACTAAAAGTGAACCAAGGCAGTAATATGATTATGTGGAGAGTGCCGGCGCTGGGGGAAGGTGGAGGATCTGAACTGAGAGTATGTGAAAAGGGGGGCGGAGAATAAAAAATTTTGTTGGAAAACTGTGCAAAGCAACCAAGTATTACCAACCCCCGAGAGAGGTGCTCTGTCTTGTGGATGAGGAAACTGGGATCCCGAGATACCCAGAAATACCCCAGCAGCCCAGCCGCAGGCGGCAGAGTGTGACTGGAAACCTGGGCGGCAGTTCCCCAGTCATGCTCTTCCGCAGCAGCTCTTTGGAAATGAAGGCTTCTTCATGCAGTCTCGATTACCTTCTGGGAACAGTCTTTCATCCTAATTTGTATTATAAACTTAAAGATAATTTTTAAATGAACTACATCTAGCCTGTGTCCACCAAGATCGAAACGTGGATGGAGCAGGCATTTTAATATTTCATTCCGAGTAGGGGGGTAAAAAAGGACGGATGGAACGATCTTGATCAAAAGTTCCTAAAACTGGCTGCTCATCAGAATCAGTCACCTGTTTATTAAGACAGATTCTCAAGTTTCTTTCTTTTCTTTTGTACCTTTTCTTTTCTTTTTTCCTTGTAGCATTTCCAAGTGATAATGCCTTAGGTAGGTATTTTTAAAAACAGCAGTAAATCCTCTGAGGCAATTCTGATAATCACCTGAGTTCTGGAGCTACTGAATTAGAAATTAAATGAATTAGATTCTGAGCACTATTTTATTAATTAGCTATAAGATATTGGACAAATTGTAGAAAATCTGTACGGATCTGTATTTCCCCAGTGACCATTAATATTACTACCTAAGAAGAAAGTTTAGTTTTTAGAAACCACTACATAAATTGAACATAGCAGAACTTCCTGAATGTTACAATAAATTTCATTATGATATCCCTGTAATAGACTAAATACTCATGGTAAAAATAAATATCTTATTTTAGTTTAGGGAGTTCACAGTACTTGGTAAATGTGAGAACTAATTTATTTTCCTGATTTTGAAGATGAAAAAATGGAGGCACAAACACCTTATAATTTATTTTTCTCCTTTCCTCTGGAATAACTAAAAGTGAATAATGTGTATGCAGTTCATGGCACTCTTTCCTTTATTTTGTCCCTTAAGTCAACCTTCAGGAAAAGGACAGTATAACTCAAACTTTCAGCTGCGAGAAACCTGTAGTGCAATTATTCTGGTAGAATAAAAATCTTTGGTTAAATTATTTGTGGGGATATAGCTCAGTGGCATAGCACCTGCCTAACAAGCGCAAGGTCCTGAGTTTGATTTCCTGGTACCAAAAAAAAAAAAAAAAAACCTGACAAACTATTTTTTCTTTTTTTTTTTTACCCCTCTCCAAACTTGGGTTTTTACACAAGAAACAATGTTGGCACTACTTAGCCCTGGTAGCAGAACTATGGCAGTCAGGCAACACTGTCATGATAGCTTGGGCAACTTAGAGAGACCCTAACTAAAAAAAAAAAATACAGGGTTGGGGATGTAGGTCAGTGTGAATGCTCTGTTCAGCTGCTGCACCAAAAAGAAAAAAAAAAAAAAACCGCAACAAAAAAACCCCAAAACAACAAAACAGGAAAGACGTATTGAAAAGTCTCCCTCAGGCAGGCATGGTGGCACATGCCTGTAATCACAGCACTTGGGAGGCTGAGGGAGGAGGATTGCTGAGAGTTCGAGGCCAGCCTGAACTATATAGAGAGACCCTGTCTTAAAAAGCAAGTCTCCTCATAGCTCTCTTCTATAAAGCCCTGTTGGTGACTACTGTTGTTAGTTTCTCATGTTTTTTGTTTTGGTTTTCTTTTTGAGATAGGGCCTCGCTATACAGTTCAGGCTGGTCTTGAGCTCACTTTGTAGCCTAGGCTGGTCTCGAACTCGAAACGATCCTCCTGCCTCAGCCTCCCAACGGCTGGGATTACAGGCGTGCGCCACCACGCCCGGCCTTCATGTAAAGCTTTACTTCTGAGTTGGAAGTACGTATTTGTATATCTTCTGTTGCTGCTAGTTCAGGTGGAATCAGGAAATGGATCTCAGAAAAGTAGTACAGTATTTAATACTTATGGAACAGTTAAGTGGAACTTAATGACATTTATTTTCAGTAAGGCCACAAGAGTCTTTGCCCTGAAAACACTGTCCACTTACAGAACCATGACAGGAAACACGTAAGAAAGTCGTCACCCGGGGAAGAGAAGACTGGTGGGCAGAAAGGCGCCGGCCTCGGGGTGAGCGGCGGGGGCGCCGCGTGTGCGGGCGCCGAGAGCCCCAGCGACGGCAGCGAGAAGGCGGCCAGCCCGGCCGAGGGCAGCGCCAGTGCCGACGCGGACAGCGAGGCCTCGGAGTCGGAGCGCGCGGC